TGTATTGGAGATTTACTCAGATCTGTCTGATAGAGTTAGGACAGTGTATCCATTCTGTCTATGTGTAGTTTCGCTGTTGTCTACTTGGTTCACCGCTAGTGCATTAGTGTGGTTTTCTAATTTTCTTTAAGTATTTGGTATTCCACTTTTTTATTTAACTGAGCACTGTGTTCGTTTGTAGATCATCATGGATCCTGTGGTTGTTTGTGTACCAAGGTGCGTTCAGAATGGATTGGAGAGTCTTGGATTGAAAGCGCTGGAGGATTTCAATGTTGTCTTTAGCATTACTTCATTTGTTGTGTTTAACGCTATATATTTCATCATTTTTGGATATGTACAACGTTGTAACGTTTTCTTGTTCTTCAGTTCAAGAATGCCTGGTTACAGCGTATTTCTGTTAATAATTGAGTACAATTAAAAGGGATTCGAACAGTTGATTTGTTTCTATAACTAACAGGAGAAAAATCTAAAGGAAGCCAAATTTAAAGAGTCTGATGCAAGAAAGAGTCACGCGAAGAAGACACAATTTTATATGAGAGAGAAAACCCATTCAAAATATTCATAATTAAAATTCTAAAATGGAAGTTCCAAAATAATTTCGTCAATCTATATTGTATAGACGTAATTCATTCTTACACCAAACAATACGACGATTTGTGGGGGGGAATGAGGAAGTACTGATGACCCATTTTTCGAAAATTTGGCGTTTTACCAGTTCTGGTACCAGGCCCTTCATTTTCAAAGGTATACACTTGGAAACTGTTTATGCTACATACCATTACAGGACTACACATTTTCACTGTTGTTTCAGGTACATGTGATTTTTTTTTTAATTTTTGGTTTCAGTCAGAAATATATACATATTTTTTTCTGTTCGCTTACCACCACCTGGACTATATTCATTGTTGGCTTCTGCAGCAAGAGTCTTATTTGCGTCAAAATTACTACAGTTGGTTACGACATATTCAGAATTAACATAGAGCACATGTAGTCTATATTTACTTACCATCTTGTCAGATGAGTCAAATTTAAGTCAATTTCTACTACTGTTAAGAGAAAGGCATAAAATTCGGAGCTCCAATAGATAGGTCACCTTGACGATAGCGTTCGAATTCCTACGCTGTAATCTTGTTACCTGAATTTGATAACGTGCGAGAATGTGGACCTGAATTTGACTTTCAGCAACTAATAGTAAAGTAATGCATGAAGAAGTAAAAGGAAAACTTCGAGACGACGTATTGCTCTCGAATGATCGTACCTAATGTGAACGTGATCAATTACAGCCAATCCCCGAGAGATACGGAGGCGATATCTGGGATCACCATGGACACAATTCGCCAGAATATATTCAAGAAAGTTGAATATCTGAAACTTTCCAGCACGTCGAACGAAATCATTGCTTGAAATAAACCATTCAAGAAGAGGAAAATAAATACTTCGAAACCAGACGGAGGTTGCAGTTAGTCGGTTTCCTTTAAATTCTGGCATACGCAAATATACGTAGATTCTGTTCATATACAACCGACATATACTTGAGAAATCACGCCTCCAAATCCGACGTTACTTGCTTCTGCGTCACTGACGAACCTCTGCCTTGGCTGCGAGTAAGGAAAAATGAGGACAGAAGAGAGGACCTCCCTTAGTGTTTGGAAGGTGGCCTCCACTTCGGAAGCCCACTGGAAGACTTGCTTGTCCTCCGTGAGTTTCGCCAGCGCTTTCGCAAGGTAGACAAAACTAGAAAGAAACCGTGCGTAATAAGTGCGCAGGTTAAGTTTCCTCCCCGTACACATTGGATAGGAGACTAGGTGGGCCCTAGACCCTATCTGGACATCGTGGAATAGAGGAAAATCTCTTGCCCCTGGCCTGGTCACCCAGCTCTTAGCCCATTGCTATACCAGATGTCTGAGCAAAATGTGGATCTTTAATGTTATAACAGATGACGCTTGTAGACCCCAGTGTGCTTTGAAGCGTCAAATGGAACTTTGTGTAGAAGAATACTGAAGATATCTGTTGTTGTTAAGTGTTGGTTTAGTGCTATTCATGACAGTTACACAATTTTCAAAGAAAATCTTTGTACTCCAAAGCCAATTATATCTGTGTTGTCACGTAGTATGTATGAATATATATATATGGGGTTTAGATTAGTGACTAGATTTATTGACCACTTACACAGACTCGGAACTACAAGCAGTTACAGTGCCACCATTAATCTCCACAATTCATAAATCACAGTACCCGCTAAACCTTTCACCAGCATGTTGTGTTTTCACCAGCCGTTCCCTGGCAGCCGCTTTTACAGTGGAGATTCTTCAGCTGCACTCGCTTAGATCGTCTTTTCACAGTCTCCAGTGCGGAACTGAACTATGAACTCTCAACTGACATTGTCCCTTGCTTATAACATCTCTGCATGGATCACGTAGAAACACCCCGTTTTCATCGTTGTAGTCCAAATGTTGCGTTATTAAGAAACTGCTGCCTAGCAGTGGGAAGGTGTTTACCGAGCCGTTGCCCTGAAACGGTCGCTATTTACCAACGGGTCTATACGCCACAGTATTCTGTACCTATCATATACATATTGTAGAACTTAGACCCGTTACTAGGCAACGACAGGTAAATAAGCAATTATTCGACAACCATTGTATAGCAACGGCTTTGTAAATAGATACGAATGCAACAATTGTGCTGCAATAGAGGAACNAGACTGACTGACCGTCAGTGGTAACGTGACTCTGACTCTGACTCTGACAAGTTACGACTCCCGTGTGGAATCGGGGTCGAAAATCTCCACCGTGACCCTGCGAGTCGTAAGAGGCAACGAAAAGGAAAGTCTCAAATCTGAGACAGTAAAATATTGCCGCGAGTCCCAAGGGACTCAGACCCGAGAAAGACTGCGCTGGCAAGGACCAACAACATATATGGAGGACAGACCCATACTCTCGTCAGAGAGGGCGCCCACAAAAAATAAGACAAAAACTGTCAAACAGTAATAAATATCTGGTCATGAGCCCAAGATGTGGCTTGACACCAAGATTTACTGACTAACTGACTGTCAGTCACAATGTGACTTTGACTTTGACAAGTTACGAGCACGGCAGTTAAGCCTGAGACCTTTCCAGTGTCTAACTGCCGTTTTGGAGTGTTAAATAAATTGATGCATAGGCTGCTGCACTATCCTGCATTGACAGATGTCCCTGTGTATATTAGAATTTAGTGTCAGTTTATATTTTCTGAATGGTACATAATATGTACAATATACAATATTTTAATGTAAACCCAGGTGGAATAAGGTGTAGTAAAGGAACACCGATTATAATAAAAGTCCAAACCCTCCTTTTTTATCAATAAGGAGAAACAACGAAGGAAAAAAGTAGGTCTTTTTATCCTCTCTTCAGAGAAGGTGCCCCACAAAAACAAGACCGTAACTGTTGAACAGTAATAAATATCTTATCATGAACCCCAGATGGGGCTCGACACCAAGACTTACTGACTGACTGACTGACCGTCAGTCGCGATGTAACTTTGACTTTGACTTCGACTGTGACTGTGACTTTGACTTTGACTTCAGCTGTAGTGAATTAGATAACTGCTGTGATTCAGTTGTTGTGAGCTCTTGCTGTTGGAAACTGCTAGCTGAGGCTGGGATAGGTCAGGATCTCAGAGGAAGGTGAATGTCCTCTGTTGGAAACCGCCACCAAGCAACAGCAGTGAACTGTGATGTATAGTAATGAGCTGTATAAGTGTGCAATAAATCTCAACACCAATTCAAACCCCATTTTTAGTCACTCCATCACATGACGATATTTAACTAAGACCTGTATACACTGAACAATAGCAAAGCTACTGTGACATGACGCCTGAGGACAGCAATTTGAGGCAGATTCAGGTGCCCATTGCTAGACAACGGCTCGGTAATCATGTTTCCACAGCAGCAAATATGACTGAAGAAGCAGTGCATTGCATACAGAGACATGTCGATTCCTAGGCAATGCATACAGAGACGTCTCCCTTACCACAGATAGGAAAACGCTGTTTGTATGGCAACGAACTGGTCAAAACACAGTAATAGTGAAGAACATAATAACTCTACTGTTGAAGGAGGTGGTCTCCATACAGTTTGACCAGAACCTACCTCAGAGAGAGAAATGACCAACAGCAGAAAGAATATGAGAGATAACAAAAGAGCATAGAAGACAGAACACAGAAGAAGGAGTCAGAAGTCATAAGTGAAGTCTTTAGTTTATGTGTTGTTACTGTTCCTATTTACAAAGTGTTATATTTACAGTATTATTGTGTTAAAACTTATTGTAGTTCTGCCCATTGGATATCCAATAAATCGCTTCATCTAATCCGGAAGCCATCAATTACGTATCGAGTTACCAGGATACATGATGCTACTAATAGGCAAGGCGGAGAACACAGTCAAAGGCGCTTATGTGATATCCACACCAACAATATTGCGAACTACATATACACAGCACCCATGTCGCTGCAAAACGAATCCAAACACAATGATAACTAGATAAAGAACGACAGCCCCCAAGCAAAATTATTGATGTTTTAATTGAATTTATTATTTTTAGGGATTGTTAATAGAGTAAATTTATTCTAATTTGGAGATATCACATTTACATGTGATATGCGAAGTTGCACATATTACAGAGTGAAACAATTTTAGCAAGTAGTGACACCTGATGATGGCTGTATACGGCCGAAACATGCAATGGAAAGAGAGGGAGTTACTAAATGGGTAGCATTGAGGTCAGAAGTGTAGTGTATGAATGAAGAGTACATTTAACTTGTCTAAAAATTGTATTGCATTTGATAGGTCAGGTAATTAGACATTAAAATCTTTCTGTGAAAATCCAACTTGAGTCCTAGGTAAATATATATGGCTGCACACTAATAATTTCTAAAATGAACCCACCACCTTTCTTAGACCAATGTCAAGGCAGTCTGGTTTTCATACCTAACAGTGTGTCTGACAGCCTCTTTTGTTTCAGAGTTCAAGCCTGGGCCAAAATACTGGGAGACAAGCTTTGGGATCTGGGTCAAATCTGTGGCTTCAGTGAACTGGAGAGGAAATCTGGACAACCTGTAAGATACACAACTAACAACTGAAAAGGGATTCAGTATATAACATTATTTTCTTTTCACTTTGTCAACACTTGGGGACAAGTGCCACAAGTGTTAGGAACTAGGTTCTTAAATAGGTATTTTACACATATTTTCCCTATTTCTGTTCCCTAACACAATCAGATAATTTGTGAATTTGTGGTATACAAGATCCCCATTGCGGTGGGAGCCCTTCCATAGATATAAATTCTGCTACTGTAACTATCTTCAACATGACCATCGCTAGGAATAAATGAAATTTAGTCTTAGAAATGCTTGCATCTCAAATATTGCTCTTTACTCATATGAGACATACAAAAGCTAGGAAGGACAAGAGGTCAGAACTGGAAGCATATATATATACACAGTAGCAACATTTATCTTGTTCTGAAGTAGTTATTACAGTTTGTCACTTGTGGCCTTGATGTCGGTTGGTTTTTTTGTTCACTACTAAGTCAATGAATACCATTGCACTCCTTTTCTTTTATTCTCTAAATTGTGTCTGACATTATGAGACTCACTGCTTCACCACACAAAAATGCTGTTTGCTGCTTCTAAATGCAGGCTGATGGAATCAACTCACTAATTCAACACACTTTATTCCCACACTGTATATTCCTGAAACTTTGTGCAGAATCTTGGCCAACTTCAGTCTCTTCCACTCCTGAACGTTCTAGGTGTGGGACAGAGGCCACAGTGTTGCTCAAAAAGTTGCACATGCAATGGTTCTACAACGTCCACATCACCTATGTTTCCACCCCACCCCCCAAAGTGTAGACAGTTCAAGGATAACAGCCAAGCTGACCGGGATGCAGAATTTTGTGTCTGACTTGGAAATAAACATCTGCAGTTTAACATATTACTTGTTTCCCTAGAATCCCAGTGCCACAAGTATATCTGTAAAAGGGCAGATAAAGCCCATTGTGTACAAAATTAGCATTTACTGTGTGGGACATTCAAATTCACATTCCCTCAGATATATCTTCTCTGAAGGTTTCCTCATTTTTCTGCATTTTATGTACAAAAATAAATATTATTATTGTTTACAGTCCTTTTTTGTAAGTAAAGTAAAAGTAAAGGTGTCCATGTAACGGGCCGTTGAGGCCCATAGGGTTGTGAGATGTTGAGGTTCTCACATTTTCTAGACAATCAGCTCATAGATGGTGCCAAGGTTGTCAGCCTTACGCGCCGGTCGCCCTTTACCCCCAAGAATATTCCAAGAATATTCCTGGTACTCATTTCTGTTAGAGGTTGAGTCGACCCCAGGGCCATAGTGAAGCTGGAAGGATTAGGTCAATTGAAAAGAATCCAATGATCTCATCAGGGCATGAACCCAAGACATCCCGGCTTGTAGCATAGTGAATCCTTTTTTATACTAAAATGAATATTACTGTTGTTTAGAGTCATTTTTTTCACATGCATCATTATATATAAAAAGTCAATTATGGATACAGATTGGGAACATCATAAATCTAAATTTGTATGGAAATAATTAAGCCAGTTTTTTGACTGAAGTTTATTTAACACTTTTTACCTAGTAAAATTATGTTTAATACACATTTTTTCTCCAGTACTTCTACACAATGCAGTTTAAGGTGGAGATTAAGAATGATAGAGCACTTGTGCAGGAAATTGCTACAAGCATTCACAACATGACCCAGTTGAAGCTGAGTGCTATTCGGGTAAGATTTCATAGTAGATGATACTTAGTGTGTAACGAATTTAAGCCACACTGAGCAGTTATGAATTCTTCGGTCAACTGCATTACATTCTTTTGAATATTAATATACATAAGGCAGTTAAAAAGTTCCTGGAATTCCCCTGCAGACGGAGAACAAGCAATAAGATAGCGCACACAATATTGTGGTGGGAAGCTAAGCATGTCTGCTTGCAGGTGCAACAAGTCTGGACAGGTTTCAGTGTGCAGTGTTGTTACTGTTCCGTTTGAATTATACGTGAGTGTTGGTCATTCGGTGCAATGTCGCAGTTCGAACAGTGTGCGAACATCAAGTTCATGTGCAAATTGCGAAAATCTGATTCAGAGACATTGTCGGCCCTGCAGCAAGTTTATGGTGATACTGCACTAAAGAAATCCACAGTTTATGACTGGTTTTCCTGGTTTAAGGATGGGCAGGAGATGTTAGAGGATGACCAGCACAGTGGGAGACCTTTGACATCCAGAACTGAAGAAATGATTGGAAAAGTGAGACAACTGATTTGATGTCATCGAAGAATGACCATCGTGGAGTAGGAGCAAGAATTTGGTAATGTTACTGGCCATTTATACGTGCAAGTTTTGCAGAGGTTGTGCAATGCAGTTCGGAGGAAGCGGCGCAACAAGTGGCAGGGACAGTGGTTTCTGCATCACGATAATGCACCGAGCCACACATCGCTTGTTGTGCAGCAATTTGGCGCTGAGAAAAACATTCCTGTCATCACTCAACCACCGTACTCTCCGGATCTCACTCCGAGTGACTATTGGTTGTTCCTTACTCTGAAAATGGGCCTCAAGGGGACACGTTTCACAACCAGGAGGACATCAAATTGAATGCGATGTCTGGGCTCCGGAAGATTCCAAAAGAATCCTTCCACCGCTGTTTCCAACAATGGCAGGATCGATGGAGCAAGTGTGTATGCATGCAAGAGTCCTACTTTGAAGGTGATTAGGTAACAGTTGCCATATGCCTTACCATTAGAGTGCTATACCACCATTCCGGGAACTTTTTGACTGCCCCTTTTATATGACATATATGTGACAGTACAGTCACATAAATTTTCAGGAAACCTGGTAACATTAAAAATGTATAATAATTAGTTGATTGCAATTGTAATTCTATGTAATNTTATATTAAACTGGCGTGTACTTGAACTCAATTACTGTTAACAGCGTATTGCAAAGAATGCAGAAACACTGGCCCTCAAATTGAATCAAGGGAACGAAAATTACACATTTTATGGAAATAAAGCATATGACCCAGATGGTGTGCCTCTGGAAAAAGTTCATTATTTAAACTGCACACCAAACCGACACTTCTATGGTGAAAATGTCAACACTGACTTCAGCTCCGTACATGTTCCTATCAACATATACCATAGAGGTGAGTTAGCACATTCACTGCCTGCCTTCTTTTATTCTTTCTTTCTTTCTTTCTTTCTCACGAAATAGAGTTTTATGTGTTATATTGCAAGAACAGTAGATAAACAGACATATATTAAGTTAGTCTTACCCAGCAGAAAAACTGAAAATTAAAAGCTGAATGTCTAATTTCAACTGGACTTCCTTTTTTGATGGAAAAATTTGAAATATTCATGTTAGTTCTTCCAAGAAGTTCTGTAACGATGTTAATCATGCCTACATTTTTCTTGTCATCAGGAACAGGGCAAGAAGTTCTGTAAAGACCTTAAATTGCCTAATTTTCATTGTTATTTGGAAAAAAAAAAAAGAAGTTCTGTGAAGCCTCACGAAGCCTACAATTGGAAAAAACAAGGAGTTTTACTTTATGACTTTTACTTTCATATAAATGAGGACAGAACAAGAAGTTCAGTAAGAATCTTCTGATGATTTTAGCTTTCCTCTTGGTCTGCTTCCTCCTATCACCACCATTCCTCAGACACTGATACTGGTTTCTGGTTATGAAATTTTGTGAAGTAATTCTGCATTTTTTTGTAAGACTGACTGATGCTGGTGTAATATTTGTAATTAGACCTGCAAGATTATGGGCACAGAGCACATCACTATTGGCGAGTGCCACTGGCAAGAAGTGCTCAAAACTCTGAACAGACTTTACAACGACTTGTTATCAAATCACTGGAGGCAAAACTAATGGCCTACTAAGTGAATGCAGCCCTTAATAACGTCTCAATATTCTACTGTCTCTCCTCAAGGCTCCTAATAGGGCAGACTTTATCTGCATCATGGTGAAGACGGAGGATGTTAGGGTTAATGCAGCCAGCAACAGTTCCAGAGACTGCTTGAATGCTATTCAAGCACTGACATATGGCAAACTCTTTGTAGTTCAGCTACTAAATCAGCAACCTTGGAGCCAAAGCTGAATGAGATGTCAGCACCTATTTTTATTTCCCACAAAAGAGAATCACCTCTCCCAGAGGAGAGGCATTCCCCACAACAATTAAGGAGAGGGATGTGTCAAAGAAGCCATATCTAGCAGATAGTTCCAACTAGGAATTTCTATGTGCTACTGAGGAGTAGGAGCATGATTCATCCAGGAGAGCCAGGCAGAACTATCATATAATGATGAACCTGAAACTCTCCAGACAGCCAGAAGAAAAAATCAGAGAGGCCATCCCCCATTGTCTTAATGTCATGAAATGACTTCCTTACTTTCAAGAAGAGAGGAAACAGCTAATATCAAACTAATTTTTACTGTGAAGTTTGGGGGTTGGGGTTTGTATGGCCGCCAATAGAGTGGCCAATTACAAGTTCATCCCATCCTACCATCCACAGAAAAAATGACGTTACTTCATCTTCAACCCAAAATTACATAAGCCTTTCAAAAGAATAATCCTACACCTCCTTATTTGTTCCTTTTCTGAAGTCATCATTCATGCTCAGCAGGGGTTCTGCTCTGATATCATTAGTATCAGACAAATGACAATCAAATTCCCTTTGCCTGACATGTGCCCTTATCCCTTATGACTTTGGCACGATGCAAACGTTACAAGCTAAATCTATGCTTGACAACTTATCTCATATTTTCACTAAGATCATAGCATATACAGCCAAAACTGGCCTTACACAGTGCTACAACTGACAGCATATCGGCCAAATCAGATTTGGATTTGGCGCCTACAACAGCGAAACTTTACTTCTGAGCACTGTCAAGACAAAAAGCAACAATGCCGATGCCCTTTTGCGACAACCATTCCAAGAGGAGTGTACCCTCTTCTACAAAGTCGAGGCGCTGACAGACATCAAGCAGGTATGAGATATTGAGTCTGCAGCCGCTATGAGAACAGAACAGCTGAACAACAATGAAATAGGGCCAATTTTGGAGGAAGTAGAGACCAGACAGCGTCCAGAATGGAAAACATCGTCTTTTCTAGCTGTATAATTTTAACACATGGGTCTGTTCTATTGCTTGATTAAATTTAATCAGACCTAGCATACAAAGAAACTTAAGAGAAATAGAGAATAGGTAATAGAAATAGATAATAATCTTGGCTTTTTAATTTGGAGCCCAATTCTTCTGCTTTCAGTTTAATTTGAATCTCGACAGTATTTACTGAGAGTGTTGTAACTACTACCTGAGCCTCACTTATGAAATTTTATAATCCTCAAACCCAAGAGAGCAGTATAATCATAGTACAAATAGAGTTTCTTGTCTTTATGAATAGGTATAATTTAGGGCAGTCACAAAACAAATAATCAAAAAGAAAGAAGTTAGACACTACTGCATCGACATTTTTATTCATTGTTGGTGGTATTGTTACATTTGTCTACCCTTTTCTTGTGTCATCCTCAGGCATATACAACTACTGTCTATCTTGTGAATTGTGTCATTAGTTAATATGAATTCATATTGTGTCTGTGTGATTATTTTATACTGAAAATTACACCTCTGTTTTAAAGTGTGATTCTAACGTAGTCTAAAACTAAACATTAAACTTGATATGAAATGAATAAAAATAAAAATTAAAATTAAAATTATAATTAAAGTGACTATTAAGGTATTTACAGTCAATATTATATATTTTATGTGTGTTGTTTGTTTTTGAACTATGGTGGTGGTATTGTACTGTGCTGTATCAGCTTGCTGGGATCTTTCTTCAGATTGTAAGTCATGTTGGTTTTTGACCTTCCTGGAATATGAGTGTATTCTGATTTATATATATTTATGATCGGTATTATATCGGTATCGGTCACATTATATTCTTATCTGTAATGGTTAACTATTATATGTGTGAAGGCTGAACACATTGTGAGAGGTATCTCACTCGGATTGTTGATATGTGTACTGGGCAGTAACAGTGACACAGGAAAAGGGTCAAAACATATAGCAATACCACAATGAATAAAAACGAATATTGACACAATAGTGTCTATTTTGTTGCTTTTTGATTATTTGTTGTGCGACTGTCCTAAATTATATCTATTCATAAGTAACACACAATAGGATGTATACAATAAAGGTTGCTTTCCTTTGCCTTCAGAACTATTTGGAAATTTATTCCTTTGCATAATTAATGCCCATGACTTGAAGTTAATAATGAAGGAAAATTTCATTAATACATGCACAAAAGCCTCAACGCTGACCCAGACATGTCTGTAAGATGTTAGGCATGGAATTTATATGTAAATTGGCGTAGCTAAAATAGGTAATTTGGCTTGGTAATCAAAATGGGAAATAACAGTGGATAACTTAGTTCATACAGATGGTTCATTCCTATAGTTCAATGTGATGGAGAATGTAGGTAGCATTCAGAACAGAAGTCACACAAAGAAACACTTTTTAAACATTTATATCTTCTTACTGTATATAGGTTTTTCAATATAACAATTAGCATGGAACTGCAGCAATACACTGATGTTCAGCAGTTTACTAAGCATCTTGAAGAAAGGCTTTACAAACCTCTGCTATGAGCAGAATATATCACTTTTTCAAATAATGCCTTGGAGTACATGGAATAAAATTTACCTCTTTTGTTTTAGCACCTGACATTCTGAAAGTAATTGAATGGACTGAGGACCTGGAAGCAATCTTCAAGAGTAACTATGAGCAGGATCCTTCATTGTCATGGCAATATTTTGGTAGTTCATCAGGCATTATGAGGCAATACCCAGGTGTGTAGAGATGCCTTGTCAGTTCATATCTCATACCTCTCAATTTGTCACAAACTTTAAAAATATTTTAGAGACAAGTTAAGGTCTTGCAATTTTTGGGATATGACACCAGATTTTTTTTTCATACACCACCATTGAAGTCCTTCACTCCTTCCAAAATTCTCAAGTCTAGCATTCTGTCACTGTAATTTGAAGCTTAGGTTTCTCTTGCCCAACATTATTTTTACTGGCAGCAGCATCCACATAATGGATGCTTAGACCTCATAAACAGATTCTTTCATGTATTCAGCAAGGAGAGATGAAAAACACCAGTATGGCTGCAACTAGAAGTCTCAGTCATAAATGTACATTCTTCTCTGGATGATGACATTGTATTTTGGTGTGCTTGTTTGCCTGTCTTCACTTCCAGGACAGACTTAACTAACATTAGATAGAGTTCTCACATTTATAATACTGGATCATGGGACTGCGAGGATGTAGTGTGTTTAAAAATAAAATACATAACCCAATTGGAACTAGCATTTAGAAACAAGGTTTATTAAGGGCCACTGGATATATTCTTGAAAGATGTGTGTCTCATTGGTAGTAATGATAGTTTATTTGAAAGAATAGGAATCCACAAATTAGAAACAAATGAAAGGCTGAAGAATTCAGTCTTCTGGCTTGTTATGCAGTACATTTGAATATTTAACATAGAAATTTTCTGCCCTGAAGATGGGGGCAGCAGCGTCATCGAACACAGTGATTAGTACTTAACAGAATACATGGATTTTATTCTCAGAGTACTCTTCATAATCATCACCATAATAATCTCAAATCTTGTAAAACAAAAGCCTCTTTAAATTTCTGCAGAACACAGGCAAGTTATCTAATAGCAACACTGTATCACCCAACAGTGTAATCATTACATATCAACAGGCCATGATAAAATCCTTGTCACCTGAAAGTATTATCATATGTGTTAACAAACTATCACGAAAGCCTTGTAACTTCATGTTTTATCCCCAGCAAGAGTATTATTACTTGCTGTTTCCTCAGGTGTGTTCTGGAATGACTCCCTAGTGGACACATTTGATTGTCGAATGAGATTATGGTATATTGGTGCCTCATTAAGTCCAAAAGATGTTATCATCCTGGTGGATAACTCAGGTTCTATGACGGGAACAAACAAAGAGACTGCCAGGCATCTTGTCAACAACATCTTGGAGACACTTGGAAGCAATGACTTTGTCAATGTGCTGAAGTTCAGTGATACCACTGAGCCAGTTATAAAGTGCTTCAGGAACATTAGTCTTGTACAGGTGAGGGCACAGCATTTACCTCCATTGTATTTATAAAACATGTAATCATCTGTTGTGAACTTAAGATTCCAACAGGATTCAAAATGGCTCATGTTGTGTGGATATAAATGCACAATGGTCTGGAATTATGAAATTCACATGTGTGGAAATAAAATGACTGTTTCATTGATCCACTTATAAAATGCTTCAGGAACATCATTCTCATCCAGATAAGAGCATAGGGTTTACCCCCACTGTGATTACAAAAGATGAAGTCTAACAGAATTCAAGGTGACGTATGTTGTGTGATTATAAAAGTACTCTGAATTCTGGAATTATGAAATTCAATTGTATGGAAAGTGACAGCCTCAAAACACATTTATTTATTTATTCTTTAAATTCAATAAATCCTTTTTGGCCAAGCCTAGGACGTAGAACAAATCACAACGGTGTGATGCATTTTATCTACAACATGTCAACATTTTATCAAGAAAAACATTTAAAGATTCTAGTTTCATACAATTTTTCTTAAAAATTACATTGCTCAGAGTGGAATATGATACTTTCAGATAGACCAAAATCATGACATTACCTTCATAGTTCTATATTATGTTTGTTTTATACATTAAGAATGTGTCATATCAGGAGGTACTGTCAGAGGATCAACTATTTGGCTGAGGATTTCTGTTGTTCTTTTTTTGGCCTGTATGGGTAAATAATGGGAACCGCATCCTGTCCTAACCACCAGGTTTCTTGTTTCAGGCAACTTTAGGAAATGTGAGAGAACTGAAACTGGCAATGAAGACAATGAAAGCAGAAAGGATGGCAGACTTCCGTTTGGCTCTCACAAAAGCATTTGAATTATTCAATATGGTAAGAATATTCTTGTGTACATCTAGGAAATATTACTCAGAATTTTACACAGTGCTCAGACAATGTCATAATGAAGTAAATAGCATTTAGTCTTGCCATGTTTAGCTTCTCTGTCTTTCTGTATGTGTCAAGAATGCACCTTAGGAACAGATTTTGATAAGAGCAACGAACAAACATTTTCGATATGTCTTAAAAGGAAACGGAAGCACGCAGTAGCGTAGTTGGTTGAGGGGCTGTGCTACAAGCCGGAAGGTCGCGGGTTCAAGTCCCGATGAGGTCATTGGATTTTTTTCAATTGACCTGATCCTTCCAGCCGCATTATTGCCCTGGGGTCAACTCAGCCTCTAACATGAATGAGTACCAGGAATTAATTAAAGTAATTTTCCTGGGGAATAAAGCGCTGCCAGCATGTAAGGCTGACAACCTTACCGCCATCTTTGAGCCAGTTATCTAGATAAGGTGCTACCCTCAACGTCTTACAACCCTATGAGCCTTCATGGCCTGTTACAGGGATAGCTTTCCTTTTTTTTTACTTAAAAGGAAACATTACATTTTTTCCTTGAAGTTAAGCTCATTAGGAAATTGTCTAAACAAGTGCAGGGTACATAACAGTAGTCAGGCATTATGTAGATATTATGTTAAATATCATCATATATCATATCACCTGACAATACACGAAATCATATAGTATTGTTGGAAGTAAACAATCTTCCTTTTTTTGGCATAAGTGATAATGATTATGTTCTGGATATGGATTTTCATAAAATTGCATTCCGATTAACTACTAATGCCAGTGCCTTATGCAGTGCACTGATTTTATAGTCTGTTAATCATGGGTGTTACCATGGACTGGATGTGTAGCCTGGATGTGTGAAACAAGATATTAATGGAATATTTGGTTGGAAAACTGTCACATGAAATAAAGAGATAGCTATTGTAGTATGGAAGAAAAATAGGCTGACAGAAATTGGATTTTATCTGGTAGCACACTTTCATATTAAGTGTTGAACTATCACAGAGTTGGTTACTTGGGTGCAGGATGCTAACAAGTAATAGCACATCTCTGTTCTTGTCACAAGGTCTTGCCATCTCTTTGCTGGCTTGGATATGAGACATTGACATGAAACATCTGATATTGTGATATATTTTAAACAATTATGCTATATACTTAGATGATCCTGGATTGAACATGTGCATGTAAAGTCCTAAAGGCAAGCTCTGGAATAATGTTTTAAAGCAAGCTACCATCTACTCCTTTCATATCACTTCCACAATTGCATTATCATTTCTCATTCAATGCTGCCAGTATAACCTATGCCATTGTCAAAGCATCCTTAAATGATACCATGAAGGAAGAAACTTGTATGTACATCGCTGATTAAAGTGAGATTATTTTACATTTACAGAAGGAGCAATAAGAAATGTGTCTTGTTGCAGTCACTTGAGAAGAACTTGGGAGCATCGTGTAACCGAGCAATTATGGTAATTACTGATGGTATGCCTGACATCTATAAGGACATCTTTGATGAATATAACTGGAAGGCTGACATGCATGTCCGTATGTTCACATTCCGCATCGGCGATGAGGAAACAGGAGCTCGTGAGATGCAGTGGATAGCTTGTAATAATAATGGTAAGCAACAGTGTTGACCACTTACATGGAGAAAGATGGATTTCCTACTTGTCATAGTAACATTCTACCATAATCATCAAATATTTCCTCTTCATTTTTAGCTAATATTTCAAGTTTGAAGTGAAAGTATCAACCTTCATATATCCTTACTATTTTTAGGAACAGTTGCCCTATTATAGTTAGTACAAAATAGAGTCTTTCTTCAAATATATTTTCATAGAAATCTCCTTCCTCTGCAATTATGACAGAGCTCATTTTCTGAACACGTCTTTTCCAAACTACTCGATATTTTTGTACAGTGTCTGTCACTTGTAGCATTGTTCACAGATAACAAAGCTAGGTTATTGTGTGTAACTTAGAACTATATTTTGAAGAAATTCTTCACTATGACATTTATTTTCATTGCTATTATTTGTATATACCTTAACTGCTAAAGCTCTTATGCTTACTGGGTGGCAAGTATGCAGAAGTTAAATTGAACCTATGAGAAGTGAAGTTTTCTTTGAAAATGTCACTATTGCCTACATCGGAACACACCCATCAATGAAATAACTGAACTTTCTCTAAACATTTAAAATTCCTTGGCACATAGAGCAAAGCAAAAATCACTATGTGCTTTGAAGTAATTACCAAACAATTAAATTAAGAATTTTTCTTTCATATCTTCAAAATCTGTGAGGCAAAATAACCCTTCTGAGGGCACCAGAGTGCCCAAAATCATAGGTTAGTAATATTTCGTCTATACAGATTTATATATTTTGTATGGTCACATGTTAATGTGCACAAACATTTTTATCCATATCGTAAATTAAGTGAGAATGTTGTACATCACTTCCTTCCTATGTCATCAGCTTCCTTCATGTCCATATACATTTCAGATACTGACTTTTTTCTCCCCACTACTCCCATTCTATAACAGGAGCAGAATGTCTAATTATCAGAGATATTTTATATTGAAATCCATATTGATGATCCCCGATAATTTGTTTCTATATATTTAGTTAGCCTGAAGAGAAAAATGTTAATTCTTTTTATGCAGTTAATAACAGTTTCATTGTTTGATAATTACTGAAGTCAGGTTTATAATCCTTTTGATAAACAAGTACATTACTAGATTTCTTCCTTACTCTGTCAAGCATTAGAATTAGTAAGGTTGATTCCATAATTTAACTTTTTACTCACCTACTTGGAATATTTATACCAGAATTTAGTCAACATATGACCAACATATATCTTTCCTATGATTCAATAGCAACCTCAACCTCAAGGTCGCGCCATAGCTCAAGCGGTTAGTTGCTGGCTTCCCACCGTGGTGGCCCGTGTTCGATCTCAGGTCCGATCAAGTGGGATTTGTGGTGGACAAAGTGGCGCTGGGGCGGGTACTTCGGTTTCCCCTGCCAATCTTCATTCCGCCAAATTCTCCATCATCATAGGCAGGCTACAATAGGCCAATTAGTGGCCGCCATGCCGGGTGGACACAGTTGGACTCCACCCCCCACTATGCGAATTAAAAAAAAAACTCAACCTCAACAGAACTGGAGTGAGGTACTGATGGCTCTACTATATATATTTGCTGTTTAATGCACATTCAATAGCTTACAGAAGTAAGTGTCTTTTTCAGTAGAGAATACTGTAGAATTTTGCAAGCAGATTAATATTCTCATTCTTTACATGGTTCTTGACAAGCATTAAATTCATTTCTGCCTTTGTACAAATACAATTTTTTTTTATACTAGTGATTTTGAAGCTTATTAAGGTAATGCATCTGAGAAATTTGGGGAAAAGTTATGAAAAATCACAAATTTTGATTCTTGTGTAATAAAATAGTTCATATCTTGCTATTTAGTAAAATGAAAGTTATTTTGGCCTCGCGCCATTTAAATGGACCCGAGGTGGCCATTTAAATGTCCCTGCGCACGTGTTTCAGCTGCCAACTCCCCATGTTTTTTTTTTCTTTTTTATTGCTAGTGGGGTGGGACTAAGTCCCTTGTATTGTGGCCACTTCTGGCCTGTTGTACCAGCCCAAGATGATAGGTGAGGGTGATTATGGAGCAATTGGTGGAATGAAAATTGGCAGGGGAGCCGAAGTACTCGGAGAAAAGCTGCACCAGTCCCACTTTGTCCACCACAAATCCCACTTGACTAAACCCGGGATCGAACACGGACCACCGCGGTGGGAAGCCAGTGACTAACCGCTGGAGCTATGGCGCGGCTCTCCCCCCATGGTTTGCCTGTATGTGCGTGTTTCAGCAGTACAACAAACATTTATCAATTTTAATTTTGCGCATTTTTTACCGTAGGGAACTTTAGTGTTGTGGCCAACCAGTAAATATTCAGAGGGAAACATTTGAGTATCAATTGGGCAGTTATACCGCCATTTTCGTTTTTGTTATTGTGTTTTAGTTGTTGAGAATCATGGTCTTTGTTGTTGTAAATAAGTGTGCTGTGTATTTTTGTTTGTGTTATGTTCTTTTTAATAGTTCATTCAGTTTTATTTAGTTATTTAGGTTAATAGTATTATTTAAATAAGTTAGGCAGAGTTTTTCTCTAATTTAGTGTAGGTTAGGTCAGTTTTTACTTTATTTTTAAGTGCCCATAGTATATACAACATGAATAGGTTGCCAGATAAAAGGCTAAAAGGAAAGAGACCAACCAAAAGAAGTTTTTTGGCTAAAAATTTAGTGGCCAAGAGATGGAAGAAACAACAACAAACTGAAATGTCTTCTGAAGTAAGTGAAAGAAATGAAATTGCTTCGATAGGGGATTTCTCTTCCCCATCATCTTCCCAGGCATGTGCATCCCAGACAAAGCTATCTTTTTTCTCTGACAAAAGAATTGATGCTTCCCAAGACAGTATCTGAATGATATGCCTAATACTGATTATGTATTAGTCCATTCCAGCTTTTGGCAGCAAATATGTAAAGGAGTAAAATGTGGCACTTGTGGGGGAAGTGATTTGAAAATAGAATTTTCTCGATTCATGGTCTTTGCAGCTAAAGTAGCTGTAAAATGTACAGCTTACTACATTACCTACAGTAAAAATTATACCAGTCCCAAGGTTGAATGCACCAAATCAAGTCAACCTCCATTTGAAGTGAACCACAAAATGGTAAACACTTTTTTATCATTAGGTAGGGGTCATGCTGGAATGAAAAAATTCTGCATGGGCATGGGCAAGCCACTAATCAGTGCTTCCTTGTACAATGCCCATTTGCTGCAAACAACAAAAGAAAATACAGGAATTCATCACAGTGTGTTGCAGGAGGCTCAAACTCTTGTTCTCCAGTTTTATATTGCCACTGATCCAAGCCTGAGTGAGGATGACATTACTGAATGTTGAGGAGGTAAAGAAACTGATTCCATTATATACCATATTGGCTAATGAGGAATTCCTGAAAAATTGCATATCTGGGAAGACTCAAAATGCCAATGAGGCATTACATAGCCTTATTTGGACTAAATGCCCAAAAGATACATTTATTTCTAAAAAAATAGACATTGGGGTAACTAATGCAGTGAGTGAGTTCAATATGGGCTGAATAGCAAGCCAGAAACTGAAAGCAGAAGCAACAAAATTGAAGTTCAGCCGAGCAACTGAGAAAATAGGCAGAGCAAGGGATGATCCTCGCCTCAGGTGGAGCACACATTGCAGTCAACTGGGTTCAAAATCCAAAATCTTCATTTCTTATCAAACCATGCATTACTGTTGTAGAGGAAACACATTCATTGGGTGCAAATGCCCAGTTAAACATAACACCATTTCAGGAAGATTTTTATCAGCTTCCATCTTACTGAAGACTTCTAACCATCTTACAGCAGCAGGATTTTTCTTGTAATTCTAATCTTCCATGCACTCTGCCACAGCATGTTTGGCACACTGCCATTGGTCAAACAGCTTTGCTTATTATGTTGAGCTAGAAATGACATGAAATATGTTAATCTCTCTGGAAAAGTGGTCTCAAAGGTCAGACCAACAAAGTTTATTCAGTAGATCCATCCATTACAGCCTCTCAGCATTACCATGGCTTTGCTCCCTTTTCCCTAAATATTCCACAGGTGTTGCAGAATATATAATTACCTGTAAGAAAGCTTCTTCCATAATATTACAGGAATCTTCCAAGCATGACAAGGAATTTTTACCTTTTTTGTGAAAAACTTTCCTACTGCCTTACTACCATATTTTACTTGTAAATTGAAAGTGTCATGCAGGTTCTGTCACTGACGTATCATCTTCCTTAATAAGCTGTAACGTTTCTTGGAACATTTGACCTGGCCACTGATGAAGAGTAAACATAAATCAAAATATTTATCTTCAATTAATTTCTTGAATAGAACAGGACACTTTTCTTACAGATGAAGGTAGGAACATAAACCACTAAAATTGGTCAATATCCTTTTTTATTTTCTTGCCAATTCTAATGACAGAACTTAGGTGCGGCTACATTCAGCAGAATATTTGGAGCTCTGCAGCACAAACAATGTAAATATGGAACTACTTATACATCTTAATGACTAAGTTTCAAGGTCAGAAGGAAGACACTTCACAGCAGAATGCAGGCATCTGTTTAACGTATACCACACTCAACACCAGCTACTCCTTTCCTAGCTTAGCCTAAAGCCAACACTATATATTATTCTTTCCAACCTTATTAAGCCCATGAAAATCCAAAATCCCTCATGGCGCTGAACTGAGAAACAACAATATGTACTGTTGCTCTCATTTAATAAATTGTGCTATGCACCAAACTTTTTATCTATTTTTTTTTTGTCATTTCACAATTAGCTATACAGTTATATGAAGCATCCCACTCCAGTACAGTTAATGCGCTCAGCGGTAGTCATCATAAATTTAAAGTTACTAATAATGAATGATTCATGTTTTAATGAAAATGAGTACTAAGAAATGAGTCAAAAGCAAAACAAAAACTGACATTTTGAAAGAAATTGGACAGAATGGTATTCCAAGGTAAATTAGTTGGACAAATGCAATTCAGCTCTAGACAGGGACTGCACTATTCAAAACACAAAATATGCCCAGCCTTCCTGATATTTTCTCATCCACTTCTGCAACCACCAGATGATAGTACTACGTTCAGGTAGGGCAAACTTTAGTTATATGTAGTTGAAAGTCGTCTTTTATCTATCAGAATGAAATCAGTTTTATTACACATTTTTCCATGGTGGATATTCTGAATATATTTAAATTTTTTTGATTTCAAAATATTATAGGGTTACTCTTCAGAATTATATTCTTTTTTTTACATATCAAAATTTACTGCCCTTAACCAAATTTTCTTCACTAATTTCATATGACTCATTCTCAGTTGTTAATTTGAAAATATTTTTCTCTCTACGTTCATATTGAAATCATGTAACAAAATGACTGTGAGGTAGTTTGGAAATTAATAAAATACATCCTCCAATTCCTCATAAATACTATCCTTTATATCATCAATTTTATTCTCAGTTAGGGCATTTGCTTTCAGAATGGTGTAACACGAATGATCTCCTAGTATTACATTACATGTAACAGTCTATCATTAATAAAATCTACCATCATAATTGTTTATCTCATTTCCTTATGTACAAAAACTTGTCTCTAAGTGATGATTAATATTTCCATTTAAGTAGAAAAATGTATGACTACTGGTTCAGCACCACCCTTATCCCATCTGACCTCCTGTACCCCCACTAAAATTAACATGTACATCATTATTTCTCTCGTCACTGTTTTCACTGAATCTGCTGAACAGAGGTCCCTGATATTCATGTTCATTCTCTGTTGCGTAGGTCAGTCATTCCAAAGAATCTCTACAGATTCAGGGCCTTGTGTAACGTTTTATAACATTCTAGCTTCTTACTGTGAGGCATTGTTGACCCACAACCAGGCACTATGCTGGAAGACCACCTCTTACCAGTTGTCTGTGACTGCTTATTCAATATATGTGCAGCTGACCTTTATATCTGGAGGCAGTCTACTCCATCCATGACTTGGACATGACATGTAACATAGATGCCCAATGTTCACATACTTGCACAGCAGTCCCTTGAAGTAAATAATTGTGTTTTCACCAGAAGTGACTTCTACACCTGCAGGTTGGTAACACTCCAGTGTGACTGAGGTCATCCAGTAGTGTGAGCTTTCTCAGTCACTGAAAGAGAATTTATAGGTGAAGGTAATTGCAAATATTTTGGTTGGTGTATGTACTCTAACATATATTTCATCTCAGGCCTCCATGTCAGCAGTTTTGTTCCTTGATATCCCTACTGTGTCTGGGATTACATTTCACTGCTCATGATGTGATCAAGACAAAAATATTCTTAAATTCTGATTATGATCAATGTTATTAAAATGTTATCAGAATGTAGTTCTTGAAGGAACCTGACATTGCTAATGGAATCTGAGTAAACAAGGAGCTTTCCACATAGTTGCCACCCTGACGTTAGTAGACCCTGATGTTGTACACATGGCTATGTTGTGAGCATGAGCATGCTGTTAAATTATGGATTTTGAAGACCTTTCCTTCATTTTTGGATGAATACACTATGTCAGTGTTCCCACTGACAGAATAACCTTCTGTGTTTCTAGGCATTCCATTGCAGAGACTTTACATAGAAGGTTTGTGTATTTCTAAGTTGCGCAAAAGGTTTTGAAAGCAGATAGCCATTAGATGATATGCTTAAGGTAGACAGTCATAGCAAACCAATATTTTAGGCATGCATGAGTATCAAACTTTTTCGAATGGACCAAAAATATATTTTAATCTTGATTCAGATGTTGAGTTTTCAGTCTCAGGCTTCAAGAATTTTCAGATAACTGCTCATGATTTGCACACTGGCATGCAAACTGCCTAATACACCAAGAACCGTAATGTGTGCCGAACACTAGCACAAAGCAGCTTGTCAGTACACTTTATGTCTCTGTGCCTCGCTTCCTCTTTCTGTCCATGGTGAAAGAGGATATGGCCTAAGAATTAACATCTTAAAATACAATGGATTAAGATCATTTCTGTCAAAGAAAGTGAGCAGAGTTATAAATTGTGATTACAGTGGAAAAGTTTGTCTTGTAGAGACAGTTCTTTTTCTCATCAAAATCTCAGAATTTTCCCACATCCTTGTCTCAAACTGGCAAGAACCACTGTTGCATATGTTAACATTATATAAGATATTGAAAGGAGAGAAGGCATACATTGGCTTGACCTTCTACTGACAAAGAAAGACATGCTGGCATTAGGCATGAGTAGTCTATATATTCTGGTTGTGAGGTATATTTATTAGTGGTTAACAGGTTCCAGAATTTTCATTGCAGAACTGCAAATGAGTAGATATAAGCTATGAGAGATATCAAAATTGCCCGGTAAAGTCATAAAATGCAGGGTGAACTGTACCCCAAGAAGCAAAAGACAAAACTCTTTAAATAATGAAGGAATATTGACATTTGAATTAAGAATTGAATTAAGAGAATCAGAAACATGAATTTATCCTTTTTGTTATACATGTAATATATTTGCAGGGTACTTTGTGTCGCTCAGCCAACAGGCTGAAGTGCGGGAAAAGGTCCTACGCTACATGCCTGTCATGTCTCGACCTTTTGTTCTCTTGGGAGAGCGACCTGTCAGCTGGACTCCTATTTATGCCAATCTTGCAGTAAGTTTCAGTTTTACTTCAAAGCAATGTCAGCAGAAATAGAAATTTCTTCTTTTCTCTTATGTAATCCATAAATATAATCTATTGATATTTTCATCAAGTTGGGTCATATGCAAACAATTTTCTCCCTTTCCTCTTATACTAGTGGCCATGCTTTCCCTGCCTTTTTTTTATACTCTTATACATTCCTTTACTTAGTCTTCCCAGGTTATCCTCAGTTTGCTCCAGTGCTCATTTAACTGCATTCTCATTTCTTATGCTCTCATAAAATTCCTTTGGCTTCACATCCCACAGTACATTCATATAGCGGTATACTTGATTTCAGCAATTTTTCTGGAGTGTTTCTGCCATCAGATACAGCCTCTGTTCTAGTTTCTGGTCTTATATCTCCTTATTCAATTTCTCAACACTGCACAGAAACTTTACATCTGCTGTTTCAAATCTACTTACACATCTTCCAACAGATATCCACATGTCTTCTGAGTATATTAAAACAGGCAGCTATGTGTTTGTAATGAGAAACATTCTTTTATAACAATTTCCATCATAGAAGATAAGTGCACTTTGGTTTCAAACTGCGAAGTAAATATTTCACATGTCATTAACTAATGCTATGGAGCAGAGTATTTCTTGGGAAGTTAATAGTCACTCACCTTTCAAGTTATTCCATGCCTTCTATGGAACCTAGGAGTTCATTACCATATTCATAACTGGTTTTTCTTGTCCTGAGACAGCTGAATTCAATCCCACCCTGCCCCTTTAAGCTGCATTTAAGTATTATCAACACATCTATGCTTAGTTCTTCTATGTGGTCTATCATTCTCTCAGTTTGTCTCACCAGAAACTTGTAGGAGTTTCTCATGTCTCCTTAGCATTCTCCATGTCCTACCCATTGTACCCTTGATTTTATCAACTGTATAACTGTCATATTACTAGACATTCCTTATATTGTCATGTGAGCAGAGTATGAGGGGACATGTGTCTCCTGGCCTGTACATCCATCAAATTTGATGTGAATAGTGAGAACTCTCTGTGCATTCTGGACAACCACTCAGCTGATGCTGAAGACCAGTGATAAATTGGAGATTTCCTGAAGGGCAAACCCCCCCATGAGCAAGCCGTGAAATTCATGAGAGGGCCCATTTCAGTTCAGTGCATTACAGAAGCAGGCTTGAAGACTGCTGTTAACCTTCAATGTCTGAAGTGCACCGATCAGTACACTGATGTGTGTGGTCATCATAGCTGAAGTACCCCGATTTGTGCATTCGGGCATTTAAACGCTGCAAGTGGAAGCTCAAGCATATGCCACTAGTAGAATCATATGCACAATCCTAAATATTTATTTTTAAATATAGTAAAATTCAACATTTCTTGTTGTTATCTGTTTGATGTATATACAGGCTTCAACCCCCACATCATGTAACTGAATCTCGCCTTTGTGTAATACTCCTTGAAGCACCCAAGAAAGCACAATCCCACATCACATATCTTTCATGTCAACTGCTTTTCAATTTAATCATCTTCCAAAAAACATTTCACTGCTCTTGTATTACAAAATGAATCTACAGTATTCAAATTCACTATGAACTCACAAAAAACTGAATTCACTCTGTATCTCAGCTGTGATGCAAGCATTTGGTTGCAACCATTGAAGGGTCAATATTCTCTTGCAGCTACAATGACAGGGCTTGGAACTGAAATATGGAACAATGAATATTCCTTCTAGCTTTTCTTGAAAGGCCATGTTTTCACTTTTCTCTCCCTTAGTCAAAAGACTGGAATATCTGAAGGGTGCAACAAAGATATGAAACTTGCCAGCAGAGAACCAAATGACTTTATTGCTTCCAACTTTATTATGTCGCCAGAGAATGCAAAAATATTTCAAATGCTGCAAGCAGGAATGATTTTATAATGCAGAACTACTATGTGAAGAAGTGGAGACCTATTTTTACAGTATGCATCAAAATTACAAGGAAGAGAAATTAAAATATAAGGTTTGACTACATATTTTCTAATCTTACATTATAATATGCGACACTGTGTTCTATGCTGATAAAAAGGAAAGTTAATTCCATTCATTTATCATAAGAATTAGATTAGATTATTAGATACAGCATTTTCAAATACAGTGCAAGTGCCCTAACAGGAATGGACATTTAAATGCAGATCAACAGCGGACATTTAAATAAACTCCAGGCAGCTCAAGCTACCACCATTTCAGAAGTCTGATTCAGATTTCAGAAGGTTGATGATGAATCAGTCAGTTAGCAAGTTAGCTGAATTAATAAGTCACTGTTATGTTCATTTCAGTTTCACCTCAGCACAGATGTGTGAGCCAGTCAGTGATCATGTAGTAAGTGTGTTGCACTATTCAAATTTAGCAGCTCCTCCAGTTTTGCCCTACACTCTGGGGAATGGTAGTAACAGCATCCCTGGTTCAGCTGTTGAATTAGCAATGCTCCCTGAATGGAATGGGAATACAAACTTAAGCAGGGTGTAGAATATTCAGATTTAGTGTATTTGTAACTATGCTCAAACTATGGGTCTCCACTTAGTCTTCAATGGGGGAAAAATGGGATATGAAACAACTATTTAATAAAATTTGAAGATATAACAAATTCATAACACAAAACTCAGAATAATCAAAGAAAATAATGGTGAAACAGAAGTACCTCTCAACAATAACCCCACTATTTCAAGATACGCTTCTTTAACCAGGCATGGCAAGCCCGACCTCTTGGTTGGCAGTTTTGCAAGCCAAATAACTTTATATTTACTTATGTCTGTATAACACAGACCAAGCATACCAAAGACATTAATACAACATTCACGAAACATGAAGCATAATATGACTCTACTGTACTGTTTCACGAATGTAAATCGAAAAGATAAGACCATAGAAAATGATGAATCAATTCCAGAAAACCATGTCACAACATCCCTAAAATAAACTTACATTTAGTGTTGCAGAAAGGACTCCATTACCCTCAAAAGCCTAGGCACATAGTCCAGACCCAATTTAGAAATACACAAGATTGAGGTCCCATTTAGTGTTCAGCTCCTCCAAACGTCGGTAAGCAATTGAGAGAGAAGGTAATTGGGTCAAAGCCCAGATAGGTCTTCATTCCATAATATGGAAAGGAAGGAAATCACAGGATAGCTAGGATTATGAGACATAATGTGGTAAACATGTCACAACTCAAATGTCTCAGAGGGTGAAGAGGCGTGAAAGACAACAAAAACACTGGCTTGAAGATACCACATCTGAGTGACTGAGTACAATACAGAGCTCAAATGGAATGAGCTCTGAGATAGTGGCTACTGAATGAGTCAGAAGAATGAAAAAATTAAGCAATTTTTCTCAAGTGTGGCTAGGCTATGCCAACAGTTTCCAGCTTAACAATGACCTGTCTAGTCTTCTTACACTAGTGAGCGAGAGTAGTATGTTTATAGCATAATTGTCAACAGATTGTACCCTTCCCTTGTCATAACTATTTAGATTCTGAGAAAAAGGAAAGATATTGAACAGGAGCTCATTTTGGACAGTGATTGTGATGAAATATTGTCATCTGACAGTGAAAGTGAGCATGATGAAGACAGTGTAGTAATAGGCGATGACAGTAAACACCTTTTTTAGCTGTAATAACACACAGAGGACATGATGTCAGAGATACACTGAAATATTACTAATCCACTCTTGATTGGTTACAGACTCCATTTTACAGTAGTGTGATGAAATGAAACAATTATTTTCCTATATTGAGATATCTAAATTTTTGTGACAATGTTAATCAGCTAGACAGGACTCTATAAGAGACTTTCAAAATCAGATCTGGCTTTGATAGGCTGAATATCACTTATGCTGCATTTTATCTGAATACTGTGCTCTGGATGAAGTCACTGCTGTCTTCAAATTGTCAGTTATTTTCAAACAGTACAGTCATAAGAGACATAAACACTTCATTTGAAGCAACTGCAATGATCCTTGTCTTAAGTCCACTCTAATATGAAGATCAAACCTATATGCCAGTCAAACTGCTTGCCCTGATGTTTGAGACTCTGATCAGAATTTTGTTTGGTGTATAATTAAATCCTGCATCTTTGTATTTACCATGCAGAGATGGACTTATAATCATAGTTTTGTTACACTGTGGGAAGGGACATATTTTTAGAGATTGAAGTGCTGCACATTTAGGTTTATGTATGTAATATTCTGTTTTGTGAATCTGTAAACTTTCTTGCAAAGAGTAATCTTTGTAAAAGTAGTTAGTTAGTTAGTTATTGGAGAGGGTGGGTTTCCCCATGCACTGAGACCTGTATTGGTCCATTGTGCTTCCCTCTATGATTTCTACCAGTCTCTATATCCTGCCGGTACTGGTGCTTACCATCAGTCCCGCCCAGCCAGCGAGACCGGCTCTACTAGCTGAGAGGTATCTCTAATGCTTCCCCCATCTACCAGAGGTATTAGAGACTGCTGTTGGGCGGGAAACGTCCGTTAATTTGGCTCAGTGACCTCCTTTGGAGATATGAGGTTCTTTTACATGCCGTAAAGCTACAACACGGGACCCACGGCTTAAAGTCCCTCCCGGAGGACTTGTTCCCTGAATTTTTCCGCCCTTAAAAATTCTACGACCTCCGCCGGGTATTTGAACCCGCGTACTACGAGTCATGAGGTGGGAACGTTACCTCTAGACTACGGAGGCTGCTTTTGTAAAAGTAAATGACAACACTACAGTACTTGGCAAAGCACTTTCTTTCAAATATTTTTATTGGAATACTTTAGCAGGAATAGTTCAAAAGGTATACACATTTTTTGGTAGTATTGTTAGTTAAAACTCTTCAGTTAAAAACTGGTGCAATATCGTGGGCTCTCCCATAAAGATTAGTTGAGTTTTAAAAATAATTATTTTAAAAAGTTTTTTTTAATTATATTCTTTGATTACTATTTGAACAGATACAATCATAGAATCTAAGTCATCTCTGTTTTTCAGTTTCAGTTTCTGAATAATGTCATTCCATGATAAGTTCTTGGTTTTTATGGAAGATCCATACTAAGATATTCTGTCAGCTACAGTAGTCCTTACATTTAATTTTGGCTACTATGTTGACAGGATCCCCAGCTCACAGATTTATTGTGGGTGCAACATCAGAATAAGGAGCAGATTAATGTGACTCGTTACTGCTACTTTCCAAAGAAGTTTCCAAGCCATACATACAGAGCTACTGGCAAGGTTTTCAAGAACTGCTCTGAGGAGCTAGAGATCAGAAGGGTGAGTACCCCTGTACCTGATGCTGACTGACCTATATTTCAAGTGCTGTTCCCCAGTAACAAAGAACTTGTGATATGTGTAAAGGTAATCAGATAGGTGTCAGTGCTTGTGAGGTAATCCATATTCAACCACATGTTTGAGTCTTAGAATATTCTATACAATCAATGCATCTACTTGATGAATTTTTCTTTTAGCAGTAGCAATATTAAAACCTTATTTTGTTTCTTTGCCAGAAACTGAACAATAATTTGTGGAAAAGTCAATCAGTAAGCACAGTTTTTAATGTCGCTTACAAACAAACAAAACTAACAAAACAAACTCCGTGGTTTTAGTCCACAAGCAACCTATACCGACCAAGCGACTGCCACTTGTCGGTGAATTTAGTGCCAACTTTAGGGGATAGAGGGTGTCACGTGGTCAGAGCAACGAATCCCCATTGTCGTTAATTTCGGTTTTATAGACCGGAGCTGCTATTTCATTGAAATAACCCCTCAATTATCATCACAAGGCTGAGTGGACCCTGTTCCAGACCCACTACTTGTCAGAAAAAATCTGGTAGAACCGGGAATTGAACCCAGATCTCTGGATTGGTAGCCAGGAACTCTGACCACTAGACCACAGAGGCGATCACTGTGGCTTACAGATAGTAAAATGGTAGATATTAAAGATCACATTGTCTAACAATCAAATAAATTAAAAAGCTGATTCATGTGTTGAAAACGTGACTCAAATGGTCAGAAATATTTATGAATTTCCTACTCAGAAATCAGCAGAGGAATAGAACAATAACAGAGAAACTGTTCTATTGATACATGTATGAATGGAAAACCTTGACATAACAGATTTCTGTGCGGATGTGGTGCCAGAGAATATCAGTGCTGATTAAACATCAGTAATGAAAAGAATGAAATATTCAGACTTTGAATAAACGTTTTTGGAACAACTTCAGATTTAGCAGAAATGATATTGGTGATGAGCCAGAATGATAACTTGCTGACTGGCAACACTTGCCGTGCAATACAGAACAAAGTAAACTTTGGTATTCTGAGTCCAGCTAAGTGCCAAGTCAGAAGAATTTTATACTAACTATTCAAGCTTATTCCTAACCTCAGGGATGCTGATGGATAGATGTGGAGCATCATTGGAACGTTGATTTGCTAGGCAATTCTCATATATTGAAGAAAAAATCTGTTAAGTGTCACATTATCCAGCTGGAAGTCCAGATATTCTGGCTATAGTTTAACTTAAAATTGACACTATACACAAACTTTGTGTTTAGCAAGTGCATATTCCTAATGATAACCTTCTGGTACTATAGCAATTATCACTTATCTCTAAGTACATGTGACTTCTGGCAAAAGTTAGAAACTGTTAAAAATATACAGTATGCAGACAGTCCCTGCTCTTACAAATAGTTATATTCCTGAACAGACTTCATAAAGCAATATTTCGTAATTCAACTTTTGTGTTCTGGGGTTCACTTGATTGGCTATATTTTTGAGCTGGAATGTTCAGATTTGCTTGGGACTGATTGAGGAAGGCTAAACTCTTGAATACCAAATATTAATAATATCCATATAATTGTTCAGGCACTAGTAAGATGCACGTTCATCCAACCGTCCACACACACACACACACACGCACATGCATGCGCACATGCAACCTACATACATAGACAGGTGGAATTCCAGAAACCAGGCTTTCATAATTACGGTGGCTAAAAATCTATAATTCCCACAAAACCTTGAGTCTGATTTTTCATTACCACAGTACTTTAACATATACATTGCATGTATGAGAAAGCAAAATTAGAAATCACCAGTTTTATTGCCTCATACAGACTTAATGCCTTAGCCTGAATCTCCCTTGTGCCAAGCTTGATCCTTCACCCAGATAATGAGAATGTTTTGCATTTCAACTGTAATTCCATCATGTTTTTGTGTAGTAGTAGGTAGTGATGGAGAAATTTGCATTACTGTCTGAAGAATCCTTTATTTATCCTTGAATAACTTACATGTCTTGCAGATATCACAATTATATATTCTACCATCAGTAAGCTGTATAATTTGAGCTTCAGAAGGCATAACAATCTGTTGAGAAAGCATTAACATCGATCAAAGTTTTATATAAAGATTTTAATTAAGATATGTACCTAAGCGGTTTAAGATTTTATATATTAAGAATTTTAATAATTTTTAACCCAATCACATTTTATCTTAATTAAAATCTTTATATGAAACTTTGATCCAACTTGATATACTATGAACAATGTCATAGTAGTTTCCTGAAAATGGTCCTCACTGACCAAAACATGTAAAGGCATTCATATAAATGTACCTTTGATTCATACTGGATAGTCATGTCAAATCATTCTATAATAGATTATTTAAATAGTGTGATGGACCAGAATGAATAAAGTTGAACTAAAGCGTTCATTTTCAATATCATAGGCTTCCTAGCATATTTTTGTTCACACCATCATTATTTATACATCTTCTCCTCTTACCATCTACAGTTAATTGGGTATAAACCACAATGTTGTTAAAAACCAACAGCATCTTATACAAGATGTACATGAGACCAGAGCACAAGGTAAACAGACCAGGTAAAATTCCATTTATTTGTTTTTTTCTTCAGTCACAATTGTCTTTTTTTTTTTTTTGAATGGCATTTCAAATGAATAAGTTTGCAGTTAGATGACAAGCCAAGGTATGCTCTTCATTATAGAAGTAGTGTGAGTGAAATCTCGTAACATGAATCTTCATAAAATGAGGACTATCTATACCAATTGATTATCACATAAATATGGATTCTCTGCAAATCTAACTACATCTGTGTTTGCATAATGTGCCTGATGCCCTTATTCCTTTAAAGCCTTCTCAGTATTTCTTCACAGGAGGAAGTTGGAGGAAAGTTGGCATCTAAAACATAATAATGCCTTGAATTATTTGAAGCAGACCCCTTTGTGAATTTTTTAACTGTAATAAATGAATGAATGAATGAATGAATGAATAAAATGTATATTTAAATAAACACTGTTGCCTATTGCTAGAATGCAATGGACTATGGAATAAATACTTAGGAAAAAGGTGCTATTACTGTTATGATACAGGTGTATTATATATTAAGAAAATAGATTTTATATTACTATATTAAGGATCTTGGTGGTCTTTTGATCATGTATGTAATTTTATATGTTATTTTGATATATGGAATGTATTGCTGTACAGTAGTTTTGTTGTATTGAGTATTTAAATTTTGACGATGATGACTATCTGATTATGTAAAATATATTGTATTATTGACTTGTTCTATATCTGAGGCAGATGCCTCTATGGATTTTTTGGAATTATAAATAAATGAATTAAAATGACATATGAATGATTTAAGAAATATTTTGTTGGGAAATAATCTTTTTATGATTGTCTCCACAATATCCCTCTACTTTTATTACAAGAAATTAATTATTAATATGTAGACTATTCAAGGGGACTCTGAATTGACTAGTATTTCAAATGTTATATTAATTTGTTGTGAGGAGCATTTTCTCAGAAACTGTGAACTGTAGGAAGTTGATTTTTATAGCATTTTATGCAGTCTTTTTTCTCAATATTGACAAACTGATATTGGCTTGTAATATTATGATTTCAGATACATATATTCTTAAAGTTTGCGATATATATATTAATTATTCATTATAGTTTATCCCAAAATTCTTTCCGTTTAATACACATTCAAAATATAGTGTTGAAAACTGTGGTCCATCAATGTAAAGAAATTCTGACAATTCCAAGATTCTCTGTCATATAGAAGCTGTGAAAATTTTCCTTAAGTAAAAAAGAAGAATAAAATTATTGAAATCAAGCTGTAAAGGAGAATCAGGGGCCTACAGAAGTAGAGACAGCACAATATTTATGACACTTGCAGATAACCTATGTGCATAATTGCTGTATCATCTGAAAGATGAAAGTCTCTAGTTTTTTGGTAACTGGAAAAGTAAAAACTTAATTTTCTATAATATTTTGGATTCCAGAAAATACACACATAATTATTTTACTAACCGAATACATTAAACAACTCAATTACTACAAATTCATCATCTAAATATGTCTGTGTGACAGTGAATATTTTCTGTCATTTACAGGAACAGGACCCAACCCAGAATACCTTGGCATACCACTATGTCATATCTGTCTCGATGCCTGTGCTAGATGTTGGAGAAAATAAGGTGATTCCTGTATTAAGTGGTTTATATCATTGCAGGCTATTAACTCTGATCATTGTCTGCAGCAGGAATTATTTAGCTTCTTGTGGTGTTTGTGTGTTTTTATTTTGGTTGGGTGTTGGTTGGTTTTTGGTGCATTGTATTCATTTCTTTGGGTGTCAGTAAGATGGAAATCTGCAGTTTCATTGTTGTTGTTGGTGGTTGAAATATTGAATTATTTAGATGCTGATGAGCACCAGTTCAGTACTTCATATATCAAGAACCACAACAAGACCACAGAGTTCCACAGTACCAACAACTTGACAGTGAATATGAGAGATCAGCATACAACATGGTATGACACATAATAACCAATGAAATTACACTGACTACTGATTATGTTAATGAATTTTATCATAATAGTATTATTAATATTTTATAAGAAATTTGTGACTCATATTTTTTAAATCCTTTAGTTTTATACGTGAAATTTGCAAAGCTTTCTTTAATGAAGTACATCCCCTGAAGATGGTCTTGTAAGGCCGAAACATGTTGGGGGTTTAATAACATGTAACCAATATAAGGAAATATACTTAGACAGTAACTTATATGTTATTTTAATTTTAGTACTGAATGCTGGTTTTGTGTTGCAGATAAAGACGGCACAGATTGTGGGTGTTGCTGGCACTGACATTCCTATTGAGGATATCAAGAAACTCTTATTATCCCACAAGGTGAGTTCCATTTATTACTTTGGTTCACAAACCAAGTTGGTACCTTGGTTTTTCACTTCAGTTGAACAAACTACTGTGAGATCTTCATTTGTTATTTCTTTGGGGAGCACAGGGTATGAACACTTAACTGAGGAAAATCTTAATGCAACATAATTTAACGCTGATGTTATTGTCTTAGAATCATTACAATTGAGTGTTTGTTGAAGGAAAACCCTAAATCAAGGAACGCTGAATGAGGGTTCTGCCATAGTATGGGTTTATGGAGAAATGAACACAATAAGTGGACCAAGTAGCTAGGACTAAAACACTATTGACAGAAATTTTTTATATGAAAAATAAATATTTCTGTGAATTGTATATTAAAAATTGATTTATATATAGAGTCCTCAAAACTTCAGTACTAATTTTCTCAGTTTCTGAACTTTGTGCACTGTTGAAAATTCTGAAAGAACACAATGTTTGGAAAGTCGATCTCAGTAGCTGGATCCAGTGATTGAGATCAACTCTCCCTATAGAAACCTGATTTGGGAGGAAATTTAGAGGAGATTGAACTCAGGTAATGCTTGCTACCATTCAGTCCAGAACCTCTTTTTCTTCTCGTCTGCTGTCCAAAAACATCAGAATTAGAATATACAAAACTATAATTTTACCTGTTGTTCTGTATGGGTGTGAAACTTGGTCTCTGACATTAAGGGAGGAACATAGACTGAGGGTATTTGAGAACAGGGTGCTGAGGAGAATATTTGAACCAAAGAGATATGAAGTGACAGGAGGTTGGAGTAAACTGCACAATGAGGAGCTTCATAACTTGTACTCTTCTCCAAGTATAATTAGAATGATCAAGTCAAGGAGGATGAGGTTGGCAGGGCATGTAGCACAAATGGGGGAGACAAGGAATGTGTGTAGGATATTGGTGGGAAAGCCAGAAGGAAAGAGACCACTGGGATGACCAAGGCGTAGGTGGGTGGACAATATTAAAATAGATCTTACAGAGATAGGATGGAATGGTATGGATTGGATTGATCTGGCTCAGGACAGGGACCAGTGGAGGGCTCTTGTGAACACAGTAATGAACCTTCAGGTTCCATAAAATGCTGGGAAGTTCTTGAGAAGCTGCAGAATTGGTGGCTCCTCCAGAAGGGATGAGCCCCATGAATAAGTAAGGTACCTCCATACATTTCCACATGAGAGCAGAAAGAAATCCTGTTTCCAAACCATTGTTCTTTCAGAATAATAGACAATGGACAGATTTCAGAATTTTAGTAATCCAAAGTGTAGATAAGCTCTGTAAGTTTGTGACAGTAGTATATTATTATCTGAACGTTATCCAGCATCCATTTGCTATTTAAAACAATGTTTCAGAGGCTGGACTGTGCCTCCATTCTCATGTGAAAAGCATATGCATTTGAGCCCAATTGATAGATTTAGTCCCTATAGGATTGTGAATAATGTCCAAAAAGTTAATAATTGAAACCAAAATATAATACACCATTATCAGTATCATTTAGAATTGACTTGAAAATAATTTTAAAAAGTTTAATTTCATGGTTTCTTTGCAGGTGGGAGTGAATGGCTATGTCTTCATGATAACAAATAATGGTCACTTACTCATACATCCAGACTTGCGACCAGAGGTGACAGTCCCTATGTCCTTATAATAAAATTGGGATTACTTTACCTAAGTATCTTGAACTAACTTCTTTAAATAACGTATTGTGTTTGAAATTCAATGTTTTTCAGTTTCTGGGCATCCTGAAACCAAGTTACAACAGTGTGGACCTAACAGAAGTGGAACATGTGGATGATGACAGCATCACAATAGGACATTCAGACCCTGGGCTCATTGAGGTGGGAGAAATCACTGTTGTGATAATCTCACAGCTTTAAAATATATTATAGCAGCAGCAGATTATCATTAATCATAAAGCTGCCTATAAACTTCATTTGAATGTTTTTATTCCTTGTAAATGTTGAAGGTATTGGTAGCAATGACTTGGTGAACAAGCAATCCAGAACACAACAATGGCTTACAATTCAGGCAGGAAGTTAGACAAGAGTCTAACAAAGTGCCTAATAAACCACTCATCAATCCCCCGTTATAATCCTTCATAAGCCCTCAAGAATTATTCAAGTCTGAAATAGTACCTGTTGTTACAAAGCCAAAAGTTCAACACCATTACTACAGCATGAGACAACATTCTAAACCACATAATCATTGTATATTTCCTCAGAATTCATTACGTATCACTTTCCCAAAATGTCTGTTGCCATGGCTGCCTCATATTCACCGTATAATAATTAAATTTTGTATGAAAAGTATTGAGGATAATATTTGGTGCTACAAGAGATGAATCAACAAGGAACATGATAAAGTTATACAGAAAAAGGTTCACAGTTTTTGTTGATAATTTTTTTTTGCATGTGTATTATTCATACTTACTCTCCTTCAGCTGGAAACTAGTCTCATGCAACTCCAAAGTTTCATTCTCTTTAGTGTATTCCCACAAAATTGTAATTCAGACTTTGTGTGTTTAACTTTTTTTATGTCTGTAGGGGTTTACCATTAGCTTAGAAGATGGAGGCAAAATGATTCTCCAAAATTTCAGTAAATATCTACCAGACTACATTATATAACATCCCAGAAGATATTAATCTTTATGGTCATACCCATGAGAACCTCAAATTTCACAAATCTGTAATACTTTGTGGCATCAATTTTAGTCCCAAAGGGTCACAGAGATGTTGAAACTCTTAATGTTCTGAGGGAAATGGAAGTTAATGACTGTAATGTCACCTTCTGCAATATTATTATATGTATTATAGGCGCTGATACAATTTTACTGCACCTCTTACAGAAAGGACCCCAGAATTTTCATATATTTGTCACAAGAAGCATGGAACAAAATTTTAGCAGGCTGTAACTCAATACATGCTTTGTGCCTATCATGGATTTCTCAACCAGTGAGCTTTGTTTAGATGCTGCTATCGGCAAATGCAGGGGTACTGTGAATAAAATCTGTATGATTATGAAAACTCCTAAATTATTAAGTCTTCTTCAACTAACAGTTGTTGACATAATCCATAATCTTGAACTTTGAGGTTAAAGAGATGTGTTAAATACATTGGTGGTAGAAATAGTTCCTGCATATATGAAAGAGTTTCTGTGTCTGAACAGCAAAATATAGAAGTATTATGCTGCATCTTTTTCTATTAAAAGTATTTTAAATTAGTTTTGCACTGTGCTGTTTTCTGCAACGGGAAAACTCTTACATTAGTTCAGTGTTGGACATATCATTCCAAGTTCAATCAGCAGCAAAACAAAACTTCGCAGAAGTGTGTTCTTCTGCTTCTAAGGCAATTAAAATATTTGATAACGAAATCAAATTGCTATGTATTGTGATATGATTGAATAGCTGTACAAGAGACATTATCCATTGCTAGGTAATGGCAAAGTAAACCTTCTATGGTATAACTAGTATTGCTATTCACAATAAACATGCAATAACAGAAGAACTGCTGGGAGCCACGTTTTCTATGCGATCCATGCTCAGCCTATATAATGAGAGCCATCTAAGCAACTGAGTTAGCTGAGAGTTGTGGAATTTGTGGTGGACAAAGTGGTGCTGGGGCAGGATTTCTCCGAGTACTTCGGTTTCCCCTGCCAATCTTCATTCCACCAATTGTTCCACAGTCACCCTCACCTATCATCTGGGGCTGGTACAAGAGGCCAGAAGTGGCCACAGTACAAGGGACTTAGTCCCACCCCACTAGCAATAAAAAAAAAAGAGTTGAGAGTTATTTTAAATCATGAGTTGAGATTTGATGGTTGAGTTAGTTAGTTGTGAGACAGTCGCCAGCTGGTAAGGATGAAGCAGAGGACATTGCTGGGATCCATTACTAGGCAATGGCTAGTGAAGACATAGAAAAGTTACTATGTACTGTAGTGAGAACTACAATGTTCCAAGTAATGAGAGCCCTATAATTGCTTGTAGGTACAATTTGTAAGTATTCAATAAATTGAGTTGTTTGAAGTAGAGAGAGTCTTATTATAGCTGTAGTTACAATTTATAAGTATTCAATAAATTTAATTATCAACTTAACCCCGTATCTACTCACTAACATGTGACAGTATAAATAAGAGAGACAAAAGCATGCAGTGCACAAGTTTATTCCCCAGAAGATGTTTGGTAACAGTTTTGTCTGTTTTTATGTGTCATTGATTGTTTTATTTCTCAGATAGAAGACATTTTATTTAACTGAAAATTATTAACCAGCTTTATGTGTCTCTTTCCAAAAAAAAAAGAAAGGGTAACATCCCCCAGATATTTAACGGAAAGCACATGGAAATTATTGTGGAATTATATGAAGAAGATACCCAGCACAATGAAGTAATAGCAGTATGAAATTAGAGACTGCATTATCATTTATTCAATTTAGAAATTAAACTGAAGTCTGCAATAGATTTATATCGGATTTACAATCCCACTGTGTTTCCTGTTGTTGGTAGATTTCTGAAAATTCTTTCCTGTTATGACATGCATAAGTAAGTTATATTTAACATTATGTTGCATTAAACATGCAGGGTAGTAGTATGGGAGAATGACTAATGGACTCTGCATATTGAATATAACTTACTTGGAGAGGTCAGCAGTTCAGAACATGAAGTATTATATAGCAATTATTAAGGCAAAACCACCTAGATTGTTGACTAAATTAATGTCTATATTGAATCAAATTTTGTAAAACTCCTCCCATGACACTGTCCAAGTTATGATGCTGACAGGTCATGAGAGAATATATTTGAAGCTTAGTCAAAATAATAAGATGCTTGGTGATCCTTGGAATGTTTTTGGCATTGATTGATTCAATCTGAAAATATGTTGGACACTGCCTAATGTCTAATGTAATTTTCATATAAATAATCACGATCTTTTTTATGTGACTATACCAGCACTATATCTAGAACATAATTTGCCTGGTCACTACATTTTTATGCTTGGATAATGAAGAGAGATTGGCTCCGTAGATCAAGGGAGCCAGAAGATTTGAAATTGAACTGTAGGTGTGAGAGACATAGTGTGAAAAAATAACTGAGATTTGTCTTCTATTCAAAACCTCAGTCTGACATAAAAATGTCTAAGAAATCTGGCAAAGATGACCTTGTCTCTTTTTTAGTGTGCTGAATTTTGTAGTCTGCCACTGATATTGTTTTATGTAATAGATTATCTTCTTTCAGAAGGAAAATTGTATGTGTAGATGTATATTAGAAGAACAGTGACAGTTTAATTGCCTGAAACTATATTGAATAGTTTAAAAAAATCAATGCAGTTCCAGACAGCACATAAGAGAAGATAGCTTATGACTCTTTTATCATTATAATGACAGGGAACCAGATTTCAATCATTCAGTTTTATTCAGTGAAAAGTATGGAAAAGAGAACATAGGAGAATGAAAAGAGTTTCCGCAAAAATTATATGCTTAAAAAACAATGTGTTGTGGTGAGTAAGGCATCTTCATAGTTCTTATTCCAATCATATGACATCAGAACAACAGAAAATCTGACACATTCTCTGAATATGTTAAATATGGCATTAAGAAGAAATAAATATTTTCAAACTTTAAGAATAAGCTTAATGCATGAACTGAACATGGGCAAGCACTGATGTTGGGAGGAACCACACTACTCTGCATTCTGTAAGAGTGACCAATTAAAAACTTATACTTCATTATATATGTTTCTTTTCTTGCAGATGAGAAAAGCTATGATTGATCAAGAGTATGGCAAGAAGAATTTGCTGCTGAAATACCATTTTGACCATATGGTGAGCAAATTTATATAATGCAGTCTGGTCCAATATGGAGAAATGAATAGCAAAAGTGAATAAAGCTGATATAAATTGATTCTTACTGTGGAACATTAATATTGCAATGCTTTGCGTTATTCACTGTTTGAGACTTCCTTTATGTGCAAAAAATTTGGTATATTCTCATTCTGAGATAGCCTGTTGTCATTATACTGAAAGATTTTTGTTATATTTATACTGCACTTTTGTATATTCCCTGTGACAATGCCATAATCAAACCAAGGACTCCTTTAATACCATTCCCTTGTGTTAATCTTCTTTGTTATTTATCTTCATCGAGAATGTGTAAAATTTCATTTCCACATCCTCTGCACCTTTATGCTACAGACAAATGAACAACTTCACTTTACTCGTTAACCTTAAACTGCAGTGCAATTTAATGTTTTCCTGTTTTTGTAATTAAGTTATTACCCGTATTCAGAAACCATGCTTTTATCAGCTTCTGTTACATCATGTGGAACATGCAGTAGATATTCTATTAATGTGTACGTCTCACTGGGGCACTCAGTATTCAATGTACTGGTGCTATTTGTAATTGCAGAAGAGAATCTCCACAGTGAGGCGACAGTACACCCACACTGGCATCAAGGATACACCTTTCTCTGTAGGAGTTGCACTACCATACCCATATGGCTTGCACATTGCACACCCTCTAGAAGACAAACTCAAGATGCTTACCACAAGGAAACCAACACGTAAATGAGAAACTTCTGCCATGTTGTACATTAACACCTACTTGAGAGGTTCCCATTTAAATTAATTAACTACACTGAAATCATTTGGTCACAAGACTTTCTTCATGGTCTTATATATTTTTAAACCACTTCTATATTTTCCATGTAAGAAGCCCCATTTTAATATCATTGAAATTAAAATTTTACTCATTAATAAATTATTCAATAGTTATTTTTCCCAGGCTCAGTTACTTTGGACAGTGGCTTTCTCTGGCTAGCATGCTCATGCACATGGAAAACTGAGTGGAACTGAACAGTCATCTATATATGATTGCTTGCCTCTCTTGCCATGGTAGTACTTAAAAGCAGCTAAACCTAAGCATTTATCCATCTTCTTTATTATGGTCTTCTGATTCCATTATGGCTATTTTGAATCTGTTAGTGTTGCATCAGTTTTTACATCTGCAGATCACATGTTGATGATGCATTTCTGCATATTATGAAACTTGTCAGTGTGTCAATAAAACAAATAAATCAGTGGCTTTAGTTGTGATTCATTATAAACAGTGAGAAATGTGGGATTTGTCTACAGGAGAAATAAAGCATAATTATTGACAGTAGTGAAAAAATTGTGTATAGTCAGAGAACTGAATAACTACCCAGTTATGACACGTGAAGACCACAGAATAATGAAATATGCATGGGAAGTTAAAGAAACATCTATGAATCACTTTTCCCACAGACTTTCAAAAAGAAATGAAAATTTTGAAACATTTAAATGTTGGAATTAAGCTGATAATGCTAAGTAAAACAGTTTAGTAAACTTTGTGTTGTGTCTGATTCTTCAATGAGAAATTGGTGTATGTATTGGAGTTATAATGTGGCCTGCAGTAGCATAGTTGGATGAGGCACTATGCTAGAAGCTAGAAGCTGATGAGATCACTGGATTTTTCAATTTATGTAATCCTTTCAGCCACACTGTGGCCCTGGGGTCGACTCAGCCTCTAACAGAAATGAGTACCAGGAGTCTTCCTTAGGCTAAAGGATGGCTGGTGCATGAGGCTGACAACATCACCACCATCTGTGAACCTATTCTCTAGAAAATGTGCCAGCCTCAACATCTCACAAACTTATCTCTATGGCCTGTGACAACATCACCACCATCTGTGAACCTATTCTTTAGAAAATGTGCCAGCCCCAACATCTCACAAACCTATCTCTATGGCCTGTGACAGGGATTCCTTTACCTTTTTTTATTGAAGTTATGATTTAATATTTGAGCACGTAGACATGTTGCTAAGTAATATGCACCAAAGGACTAACTGTGAAGCAGTGTTTCTGGCACAGTCCGCTAAGCAACAATTGAATGGCAAAAGAGAAATTGTGTTTTCTGTGTGGTCCATGCTGAAATGTTATAACCAGGACAATTAGAGTAGATAGTGCAATGCAGTGGAGTGGAATGAGTTGTTTGGTGAGTGAGTTAGAGGCCTGCTGTGGATCAGTCGTTTTGAGCTGTTGCTGTTAGGAGCTGGCAGCTGAGGCATGGTGATAGTTCGGGAACACAGAGTAAGGGAAACGTCTGCCATTGAAGCCATGACTAGGCAACGAGTGGTGAAGACAGCAGAGTGTTTGAATTAGCAATTCTGCTATAGTTACTTGTCATGATCTGTAAGTGGTCAGTAAATATGATTAAAAATTCAAACCCCGTCTATAGTCACTCATACACATGATAATGGTCATCAGAAGTGGTTAGATTGGAAGCTACATGGGATGGTGACAACTGCTGTCAGAAGTGATTGGACTGAAGGCCGCAGTGGCTGCTTGTATTGTGACCCTACATAAATGGAACCAATGATGAAACAACTGGTAACTGCCATAGTAAAGGTGGAAGCTAGGATAGACGCCAATAGCGAGAAGTTTGAGGACCCTCGAGGTACTCTCGCCTCCTGGATGGATATCCACCAAGCCAGGGCAGAGGCCACTGAAGAAGTAATAAACAATATGGACACCCATCGGTAAAGGATGGAAGTCAGTATGAATGCTTGGCGAAAAGAGACAACTGCATTCCAGGGAGTGACAGAAGCCTGTCAAGTGAAGGCCAACCCAGAGCAGATTAAGGCCAGCATGGAAGCACTAGAGGCCACAATGAATGTCTTAGAAGAAAGTTTGAACTAAATGGAAACCATGGATTTGAAGACCAGTCAAGAAAAGTCAGATGTGGTAGCAGAGTATCAGGAAGTCCCTAAAGATGAGGCCACAGTGGAAATTATCAGAGCACTGGAGGACCGGTATGGGGACTGACATCTAGCCATAGGATGCTGCTGACAGCCAAAGAAATGGACACAGGACGATGATGGGTTCTGGAAGAACCTGGCTGCAGCCCACAGACAGATGACCCACCATACTGTTCCTGCAGAACATAAGGGACGCGATCATAAAAGACTGGCGATCGAGAAGATATGTCAGGAATGACCTAAACACAAGAGTGGCATAAGAGACCGAGGTCTGAGACGGCAGCTCCATCTAGGAATAAAGAGAGCATTCAACAAAACCACCTGGCATACTTTTGGACAGGAGGTTGTGAAGTGAGTAGTCAGGATTTCCAGGGAGTGAGTGACTGCACGTTGTGGAGGAGTCAGCCCCCTCCGAAACGAAATAAGAGATTATTAGCAGCTTAAGAGCCAGATATAGGAACATTGACTACTCTCGGAACTTTTGCCCAGAAAAGAACCCTAGATCGAGGTTGATGGTGGTACACTTGGTCCTGCTCACACCTTATCAGGTAGCAGCAGGAGCAGTTGGAGAATAATCACCGTGAGAACCAAGCCACAGGGAGGGAAGGTGAGACCGATCACAGATGTCACAAGCAGAGCCTTCGGGAAGAAATAAATGGCAGTATGTCTATAGGCTGCTCGGGACGAATAGCCTTAAGGAGGGAACAATATACCACATAGATCCATTGCTAAGTAATGACTCTGTAAATATCGCCCGTTGCTAGGCAGCAGATTCCTAACCTGCACCAATGGACTAACTGTGAAGCGGTGTTTTCTGTGTGGTCCGCTAAGCAAAAATTCAACAGCAGAGGAACAGTGTTTTCTGTGGGGTCTATGCTGATATTCTATAATCAGGACAATTAGTGAGAGTTAATGCAGTGTGGTGCAATGGAGTGTAGTGAGTTGGTTGGTGAGTGAGTGAGTGAGTTAGAGGACTGCTGCCTTTCAGTCCTTGTGAACCGTCGCTTTTATAAGCTGGTAGCTGAGGCATGGGAAGAGTTTGGAAACCCCAAATAAGGGGCACATCCGCTCATGAAACCATTATTAGATAAAGACTGATGAAGATGCAGCAGACTAATGAGGCTTAGTATATGCTATAGTGATCTGCAGAGTGTGTAGTTAGCCATTGCGCTAACATTACTTGTAGCTATGATCTGTAAGTGTTCAATAAATCCGATTACTAATCCGAACCCAGTCTATGGTCACTGCACCACGTGACAGTGATTATTGAAATATGATTATTTCGCTGGTACTTCTACACACTTAGCTTCTAATATGTAGTGTGTACATTATTGCGTGGGACCTGAATGAGTTTGATAAATTTATTTAGAGGTACATTTTTAAGATGTTTTCAACATTGAAATGTGAGCTGTTTGTTCCCCTGAAAATCGTAGTTCCACTTTGTTTGCAGGCATAATTCTTACCATTAAATAACTGAAATACCTTAATGTTTTTTTTTTCTTTCATATGACATACACCACAAATTTGTTACCTGAAAGATGTTACACAACCAATATTATTTCTTTCAGGTAATTATAAAGACTTGATTAAACAAGTACGTGAGTTTTCAGAAGATGGAAACTGGACTGTCCATCCAGATTGGTAAGTATCCTGCTGCACTATATTTCTGATATCTCATCTCTGTCTTAATTTATTTGCTTGTTCCTTGTTTTCTTAACTTTCTTCCATTCTTTTCCTTTTATTTTGCTTCTTTTTCTTTCCTTTTTTCTCTAAAATACCTAAAAGTTAAGAGATTAACCATAAAAATATTTGTCGCAAGTAAGTTGTCTAATAGAAATTGGGGCTTCTGTAGCATAAAATGTGAAGGAAAATAACAGTCTTCTGTCTTCTGGATGGCAAATTTGAAGGCGAAATGGGCAATTAATTGGTGAGTTAGAGAATTATCAAAACACAATATGATCTATGATGTTTCAATATTTCAGTGATGATTTAAACTTATTTAAAACTAATTTTTCATCAGTTATATTTTTATTTGTGTAAATTGATTTGCTACATGTATATCTAGTAGCAAGTATACTGAAGTAATTATTCCATATATTCAGATGTGGAAATCTGCAACTGTTCAGTCTTGTCCTTCACAAATAACTATGTTTAAGGATGCACATGCAGTAGAGCTAATGTGAGTAAATAAATCCCTTGGCCCATTCATTCAGCAAACCATGAATTATTACTTACTTACTTACTTACTCATGGAGCTGAGCCCTTCTGGAGGAGCCTCCAATTCTGCAGCTACCGAAGAATTTTCCAGCATTTTATGGAACCTGAAAGTTCATTACCGTGTTCACAAGAGCCTTCCACTGGTCCCTATCCTGAGCCAGATCAATCCAATCCATACCATCCTATTCTGCTTCTTAAGATCCACTTCAATATTGTCTACACGTACGCCTTGGTCTCCCCAGTGGTCGCTTTCCTTCTGACTTTTCTACCAGTGTCCTATATACATTCCTCTTCTCACCATTCGTGCTACATGCCCTGCCCATCTCGTCCTCCTTGACTTGTTCATTCTAATTGTACTTGGAGAAGAGTACAAGTTATGAAGCTCCTTATTATGCAGTTTTCTCCAACCTCCTTTCACTTCATCTCTCTTTGGTCCAAATAAACCATGAATTATATGAAATATAAATTAAAATGCCCCCAGTTAATATTACTAGTACTTTTAAGAGAATTTTGGTTGAACACCTTACAGATTACTAGAAAGTAATTATAATCAAGAATTACAGGGGTTGTTCTTCACATTACATGAAATAGCTGTTTTGGGTTTGTAGCAGCCACATCATATTGGCACTTTATAGACATAACTGTTTAATTAATCTGAGTCATAATTTCAGTGATGTTGTGTTTGTAATATAGGAGGATAGATATTTCAGTCTTCACAATTTATAAAGGTGCATCTGTGATGTGTGTTAGGTCATACAACTTTATCATTTGAAGTTAGGCAGGATAGCATGCCACATCATAATATTGCCATTAGTATGAGTGACTAAAGATGGGGTTTTGATTAGTAATTGGATTTATTAAGCATCTACAGGTAGTAACTACAATGAATTATTACACTATTCTGATTTATACACTACAAAGCACTTCACACTAGTCTGTTTAGTTTATGTGCACTAGTTGTCACGGATTTATTACACAGGAACTATAAAAGTGTCACAAAATCACACACTCCCAACATCACTGTGCTACAGCACACATAAAGCCTTCAAATCACAACTTAAATCTTCACAGGCTGATATATTGTACTCCTCTGCACTCCTCGAGCTTACTGCTTGCTTGCTTGCTTGCTTGTTCGTGTGCTTCTGCCTCTACTGCTGTTTGTAACTACCTTGAGCGAATTCTGTCATTCTTACTTATATAGACATGGAACAGACATGGACCTACAGTAAACACATATCACATGATCGCTATCCAGTCAGTCTATTGGCGCGTTGGTTAGATCTGCAGAAAATACAGCTTCCTGTATTGTTGCTTGTTGAACCATGTTTACAGAGTTGTTGCCTGGTAATGTGTTGGTCAAATGTGTTACAATATATCTATGCTTGTTTCATGCCTGTATCAGGCTGACAGATAATAATATTGCAGTTATTCCCAAAGTGTTCCTCTGGTTTCTTTACCATGATTTTAGGGTTTACTGCAAGTACCATTATGACACAGTACATGACTTCAGAAGTTCTGAGGAAGAACTTCGGCACTTTCTGGAAATTTTGGATGCAGGGAAGGGGTTTCAATGTTCACCAGTAAGGCACCTCATACCCCCTGAACAGATGAGTAAGTAGTCATGTTGAAATTTGTTGGTAAGAGAACCTTTCAAGTTGGTTTCCTGTTCGGAAGTGTGTAAGTGATGCACAGCTAAAAGTGTCATTGTAACTGTATCTGCTACTACTTTATAACATGGACCAGCAGTAGGGGAAAATGGGATTTAATAAGATGAAATAATTGTTTTTCATAAATTTTCAAGCATGTTCAATATATTTTGCTGAAGCAATAGTTTACATGAAGAGTAATATATTTTTAACCTTTTGGTACAGTCATGTTATGATTACTTCACATTAGACTTTACAAGAAATTAATGATCTTAACAGTGTAATTTCTTTCATTACAATTCATTTGTAGGGTTCAGTGGCACATATGTTGGGGTTCAATGAAACACAATTTTATCTGCATTGATAGCTGTGCCATAAGCATTAAAATTACCACTGCTCAGCAGATGTAGGTTTAGAATACTGTGAAGAATTGGAAACATAGAGAAGTATAAAACTTTGCATGAACTCCTTGAGAAAACAGAGAATGCAAAAATCACAAACAGATAGTAGCAGCTACAGTTAAACAGAATGATAGGCTGAGTAACTAGTTCAACTATCTTCCATGAATGTGCCACCTCCTTCCTTCTGATATATAGGAAATAACTGCTCTTGCCTCACTGTACGCCATATTACCTGTCATTATCTTGTGATATGTGAAGTGCATTAAACTGGCTCATGGGAAGACCCTGTGACAGTTTTTTATGGTGGTGATGCTATTTCCAGGATCAAGAGGGAAAATGGCATCTAAGAATGCATGAGCAGATGGAGTTAAGAAATATCAACATGGAAACAGAATGAATCTTTAAGTTTATACAGTAATTGTGTCTCTAGATATTATCCACTGTCCTGTTTTAGTAAAGACGCAACGTTTTGGAGACTGAATTTTTTCCCCATCTTCATGCAAAACCTACTCAGTTTAGTCCTACTGATAGAGCCAGTCCCTGGATCTTGACCAGAAAACAGAGACAGAATCCAGTCTCCAAAACTTTGCATTTTAAATAAAACACATGACAATGGAGAATGTCCAAAAACACAATAATTTTATTAATATACCATCATCACATACTTTTAGATCTTACTATAAAATTATATTTGTCATAGTGCAGATGGTGGAAGAGTGTACTTGTTGGAAATTATGTGTGAAATTATAGAAACTGTAATTAATTTTTGTTTCTCTGGCTGCTCATGTGGAAGTTTACAACAGATATGGGTATCATTACTTTATCCTGCACGTTATATTGCATGAAAACCTGAGCAACTGATTAAGTGATTAACACCACTATGCAGGGTCTTCCTCAGTGCCTTACATTCTGGTCAATAAATTCCTACTATACGACCAAAATGTTTAACTTTGGAACTTATATCGATCAAATTCATTTTACTTCACATCTTTACATCTTCACAGTCTATCTCTTATTGTCTAAAATCCATTTCAATATTAGACTCCCATATACTCCATGGCAGAATAAATCATAATTTGATAAGTGCCCTAAATTATTAGAAAAAAGAAGCAGCTGTTATGCTACAGTTTTGTAATTAAGTAAGTAGTCTGTTGTATATGCAAGTTTAAAATGCAGAACTGTAAGGAAAGGGAAGGTATAAAATTATAGTGAGTTGAGATGGAAATGCACAACAAAAAATTGCAGATATTTGCATTAAAATGTGAATGACTGGAAGAAGGGACACCAAACTAAGATACTCTTCATAAATGATGGGAATGATGACCTTGCAAAATCCCATTACAGTTTAGGCACATGAGAAAGTTACTTTAGATAGTTATTGAATGTTCATACAGTTGATGAATTTAAAGAGCATGAAATACATACAGCTGATCCATTAATTCCTGAAGGAAAATTGACTGAAATTTAAATTCATTCATTTCATTTATTTTCCATATATCCATACAGGCAAAAAACCTAGGATGTGGAAATAGTCCCTTTGATAATAGATGTATACATATAATAAATTACGTAAGTTACATAATTAAAATCACATTAACATAGATAATAGAACAAAAAAACTTATTACAGTTATAATTAATAAACGTAATTTAAAAAGAACATTACTATAAAAACTTAAAAATAATACNAATAAATCATGGACATAATACAATTTCATTCAAATTACCCAAATTAATTGAATTAAATGCCTTATAAATTTACACACTTATGACCAACTATCTTTCCTTCTTTCTTTCTTTAGTTCATTTTTCCATAAATCAAAATACCTTGGTATAGGACTCGTCATATACATACATACACATCCTCCACTTTCCATAAACATCCATACAGGCAACAGACCCAGGATGTGGAAATAGTCACCAAACACATACACAAAGTCACACAAGCCTCACAACGAAGATCTGCTGGAAAATTGGAAAAACGTAAATGTCTTTGATCAGTTCAACTCCAGCTGAATTAATACACAGTGGTAGGGTCACACAGCATTCTGAAATTCATAAGGAAGAATTACCGAAGTAATGGAAAGAACATGCTCTTGTGTGTATTAAAGAAATTGGAGAAAGACAGATCTGACTGCAGTAACTTTCAAAGGTGCCTCTCAAGTGTCATCATCACACAAAATTGTATCCAGTATCCTTCAGGAGCAGTTATTGCTACTTTTTGTTGTGCTTACTGTTGATCATCATTGTAAATTGTATCAGAATAATAAAATATCTACTTTCATCAGATATTTGCATTTTGACACATAATGCAGAAAACATGGGACTATATAGATCAGACATCAACTTAGTTTTTAAAGAAGCTTATGGTCAGGTAGAAACCATACTGTATAACATTTTCACCTACTTTTTCGCTTCACAAGGGTTTTCATTCTCTGTTGCTGTGCAGTAGAAGTTTTTAAGGATTTGCTGTTTCTTTCATTTATTCTAGAGATATTAGGTGTGAAGTACAAATAACTATGTTCCTAATTGTTTTATTTCATCTCTCTTATCTCCATATCAGTTCTAAATTTTGTGTCACACACTCACATTCTGTGTGCATCCTTCTGAATGAAGGACCAATTTTTACACCTATACAAAACTTCAGACCAAACACTTTATCATGTGTTAATTTATTTTTCTCTTCCACAGATAGTGCACCATACCCAAAAGTAAAAATGGATTCTTGTTATTGTAAGTAATTTGAAAGTGTTTCTCACACAGAATTTCACAATAATGGCCAGCCATAATTGAATTTTCACAGGCAAAATGATCACTCACTCACTCATGGAGCTGAGTCCTTCTTGAGAAGTTGCCAATTGAGCAGCTACTCAAGAATTTCCCAGCATTTCATGGAACCTAAAGTTTCATTACCATGTTCACAAGAGCCCTCCACTGGTCCCTATCCTGAGCCAGATCAATCAAATTTATTCCATCTCATCATATCTCTCTAAGATCCATCTTACAATTGTCCACCCACCTACACCTTGGTCTCCCCAGTCATCTCTTTCATTCTGGCTTTCCCACCAATATCCTATATGCATACCGCTTCTCTTTTCCCCTATTCGTGCTACATGCTCTGCCCTCCTCATCCTCCTTCACTTGATCATTCTAATTATTCTTGGCAAAGAGTACAAGTTATGAAGCTCCTCATTATGCAGTTTCCTCCAGCCTCCTGTCACTTCATCTCTCTTTGGTCCAAATATTCTCCTCAACACCCTGTTCTCAAAAACCCTCAGTCTCTGTTCCTCCCTTAATGTCATAGGCCAAATTTCACACCCATACAGTACCACAGGCAAAATTATAGTTTTGTACATTTTAATTTGTATGATTTTGGACAGAAGACAAGAAGACAAAAGGTTCTGGACTGAATGGTAGCAAGCATTACCTGAGTTCAATGATCTCTGCCAAAAAGAAATGTTCTTTGAAGAATTTTTACGTATACTATCCTTCAAATTACTTTATCTGCATGTTGAGGATCGTATGAGTTATGCTGTGTTCAAAATTTGAAGAATAATATGACAGGATCAAATAAGTTAGCACTATGGTAAAGCATACGGTTTACACTCAAGGTATTTAATTTTAAGCCCTGTCAGGGTACTGGTTATCTGGATTGAACTGCGTTTGGATCCTGGTTCCCAGTAACATTCAGGGCACTTGGTTGCTATGGGAATGTTCACAGTTCATTTGATTTTCCGATAAAACACCACATAGGTGAGGTTTAAAATATTTTACTTTTGTGATTATATGTTCAGTAGTAAGGATTCTGTTCGTAATGCATTTTCTGGTGTTCTGGAGGGGCTTCTTGTTCTTGTTTCCGCTGAATATTTGTGTTATTCTACTGTATTGTGAGAGTGGATTTTATTTACAGTTCAAATTCTGATAAGATTGTTAGGGTTAGTTATAGGAAATCCTCCTGCCTATTTATCAGTTAATACTCCAATGGATTCAGCATGAAATTTCGCTATTTAAAAGCCAATCATCAGTATTGCCATTTGTTGTTTAGTATGTATACAAAAATTAAAGTGGGTTGAATAAAGTATTTAAAATGATTGAAAATTCTGTTTTTACTCTGTCAACTAAGCACTTACATTTATGTTTGATTTGTTTTAGAATTTCCATCATCTGCTGATACATTTCGTTACCAGAAAATTTGATTAGAAGTTGTATAGTTGACTGAAATATTGAAAGTCTGAAATAAATAGCAGTCATTTGATAATCTGTGCTTTGCCAGCTTGTTGGAACCATAGTTGTTTGACATAAATTATAGTACTGAAAATCTTTGTGATATTCTTATTAATTCAGAGTAATGGTTAATAGAATAATTATGGAAAATTATATTTTTTTATGAACTGAATTTTATTATGTATATTAAAATTTATAAATATTAATAGAACATTCAGAAGGTTGGGCAGATGGCAAGAAACACGCTTAAACAGAACCCACCCCATTTCACATTACTTAGCCTTGATAGCATAAACCCTGGAACATTGGCTTACCATCCCATCAGAACACAGTATCTATTTAATTCACAATGTAAGAAACCAAACCTTGTGTGATGGTTACATTTTTAATATTGCAGGTGATGTGGAACTATTGAATTCACTGATACATGATGCCATTGAAACAAGATTTTGGTCCAAAAGGAACATCATTATGTAGGTATAAATGCAACCATGGCCCAGGTTCCCAGTTCATGGAATCCATAAAATATTCCTTACATACATACATACATATACATTTGCGTTTCAGATTATTCACAAATGTGCACAGGCACAGAATATAAAACATGTCAACAAGCCAACAAGACATTGGAAGCATGTACATTCACAAACAAAATCACTAGCATATATAATCCATACTTGTCAAAAAAAACACATAAAATTGTTAAAAGGAAATACAGATTGCAGCAAATACACATACAATAGTTACATACATACATATACATACATATAAGAATGCCATAATCAATATATTTTATAGTTTTTGTGGCAGTGATTGTTCAGATTTTATTGTTGCCTTTTGTTACATAATGTAATCTTGTTTGTCATTACCAGTGTTTTGGAGGAACATGCTCTCTCTTCTTTTTCAGAGTTGAAGCACATTTTCTGTTCTCCTCTCCTGTTGATCTGGACAAAGTTCTGTCACTTCTCTGCCTTCTGGGAGTGACCACCTTCCTTGCTACCTGTGTATATAACTTAATTGCATCCCCACTCTAATCATTTCATTCATAAATATGGAGGATACCTGTAACTCTGAAACATTGGTATTCACCTACAGAACTACATGATATAAAAACCCAGAAGACTACAATTTGAATGCCTTAACCCTTTGCAATGCCTAACTCAATAGAAATAAGTATAATGAAATGTTCCCTCTCATGTTTAACAAATTGGAATTGGTGTGTAAAGGACATATATATTAATTGTCTGATGGTGTTAGTATAATGAATATGAACATTGCAGCAAAGGCTTCATGTTGTTACATGTTTGCAACTTCTTACAAAATAGTGTTGTTCTTTAGAAACAAATTAATATATATTTCTATCCAGAAATACCAAAATCTGTAGTGAATTTAAAAATTCAGTAACAGTTGTTTCTTTACTATTTCTTAGTTACAACTGTGCTTAAAACTTGCTCTTATTTAGTAGTTTCTTTGAAAATTCTGGATTCCAGTAAGATATATTTTCATGACAGAACACCCAGAATCAAAAAGTTTAGATTGTATGAATTATGATGTGAGTCAGTGAAAGGGAAAAGTACAAAAATTGTATTCCTACAGGAAGCAGGATAAATTTATCAAAGAATTTGGAGTTACTGTGGTGTTTCTTGCAACTCACAGTGGTCTTACCAGATGGCAACCTTTCCAAGACAACACAGAAACCAGGTGAGTGTGCATGTAGGATTATCAGTTTTTTGGTTTAGTATGAACCGTAAGCATACACATCTCCATATGGGTAGGCATATCGTCTTAATAACACTGAGTTATCATTATTTTTCATTCAAAATTAAATATTTATTGGAACTGTTTCCAAACAATTTTTTGTGACATATGTTAAAATGTTGGATGTTAGCCAGGTTATGGGGGGAGGTGTGCCACATAAATAAGCTTGCAAAGGAAAATTCATACGGTCCATGTGGCCAGTATCCTGTGTTGTACCATTTGTCATTTTTGATTAAACACTGGTCTATAAAGAGATCATTTAAACAGGTAAATAACAGTTATATTTCCACTTTCTCTAATGTGACTGCCATAATCTGTGCCTGTCCCCATTTAATAACAAAATAAAACTTTGTACTCTGAGTATACCAAATTTCATGATCAGAAGCATCAATTTTGTGACAGTATGCTTTGTTGGTTGTCCCTGTCACACACTTCAGATGAAAGATTGATGATTGGTGAGAAAACGAAATTTAATTTGATGAAATCCATAAAGAAGCCATGTAGACTGTAGTATCCTCCTTGTCATCACATTTATTAATATTTGTGTTGTAGTGACTTCAAGGAGACACATACCCACACTATAGATGAGGTATGGTACCAACGAGCTGTGGATTTACAGGACAAGGGTGGTACTTTTGTCTACTCTGTGCCATTCTCAGATGGTCGAGGTGAGTCCCTGGGTCTTATTGCAGTTGCACATATAATGAATGGTTCATCTGATCGTATGGACAGAAATGTGTAATTATTAACAGTCCATCTTTTCAAAATACTAAAAATTGAAATACACCAAATATCATGGTCAGTGGGTAATTTTTCTTTTTTATGTTTGGAATGTCCAAGGTTTAATTTCTGGCCTGGAGAGAGGCTATCCTAACCAAGTGCTTTCATGGTTTTCCTCGGTCCTTCCAGGAGAATGCCAGAATGGTATCTCAGAATGGATCACAACTGCTTACATCATTTCCAGTTCATCACCACTAACAATCCCAATATTTTATGCTACATATTCTGAGCTGGGCTATTGAAAGAGTCATTAAGTAGACCAAAAATAAAAAATACCCATACAAATATTTTATCAACTGTTTTTTATGGTTATGAAAGATAGTATCTTACCATGATGAATGTATGCTGTTACAAGTATGAAATCTCTTAGCTGACTATATTATTAAAAACTGTTTTCATGTTGCATCACTGTAAGCATGAAATGTTTCAATTGTTCATTGTACCCCACACTCAAGTTACAATGGACTTCTAGTAGGAGTAAAATAACCCAGCAAAGCAAGTTTCACAAAAAATGTAAACTCTATAAGAATGAGGATATTAATACAGATAATTCAAATAACCGTATTTCCACAACATGATAACAAATCATACAGTCACTATTATGTAATCACTTTCGTAATTAATGAACATCAGTAACATGACTCCTGATTACAAATATGAAGCATGACTTTGGGTTTTTGGTTACTCATTGTTCTGTAAGCTTCAGCAGTACATATGCAACATTATTTGATAGCACAGATGTGATATGCTTCATAATCAAAAGAGAGAATGTAATTACAAATGATAAAACAGTTCCGTCCAGTGTGACTGTTGAAGCTTTTACTACTTCACTTCTTAGCACCCTGACATGTTTCGGTCCTTACAGACCATCATCAGAAGGAACATCAATACTTTTAGAAACTACTATTACATTGGGTGTTTTGATTTTTAAAATACATAAATATACAATATTTGAAATATACTCTTTGTACAAAATCCAAATTTCTTACAACTACAGCAACTGTCCTTGATGCATTAAAGTTTTTTTTTTTTTTTACTTTTTGATATTTAAGTTAAAATTCTTTAACCGAATAGGTTCGTGTCCCTTGTCCTTTTGTTTTTCTTGACAGGGCCGAACTTGTGCCACCTGTCTTTCTTGGGAAGGTAGTTCTTGTTGTCATCCTATGTTTGTTCATAGTGTGTTGTGTTGTTTTTACTGTATGTTTTCCCAATGTAATAGTAGTTTCTAAAAGTATTGATGTTCCCTCTGATGATGGTCTGTAGGGACCGAAACATGTCAGGGTGCTAAAAAGTGAAGTAGTAAAAGCTTCAACAGTCACACTGGACAGAATTGTTTTATCATTTGTAATATTGTTAGTGTGATGGACCAGAATGNAAATTCTTTAACCGAATAGGTTCGTGTCCCTTGTCCTTTTGTTTTTCTTGACAGGGCCGAACTTGTGCCACCTGTCTTTCTTGGGAAGGTAGTTCTTGTTGTCATCCTATGTTTGTTCATAGTGTGTTGTGTTGTTTTTACTGTATGTTTTCCCAATGTAATAGTAGTTTCTAAAAGTATTGATGTTCCCTCTGATGATGGTCTGTAGGGACCGAAACATGTCAGGGTGCTAAAAAGTGAAGTAGTAAAAGCTTCAACAGTCACACTGGACGGAATTGTTTTATCATTTGTAATATTGTTAGTGTGATGGACCAGAATGAAACAAATCAAATTCAGAGAATGTAATTGTAAAAGAATGAATGTATGTTTGAACTTTGGTGAAAACTGACAACAGTTTTGCAGTATGAATGCCACAATACCAGCCTGGCTCATCTGCCTTTTTGTGAGATGCTGATATTTATCCTTATATATGTTTCCTTACTTGTCCTTGTGCTCTAAGTAATGTTAAATTTTGTTTTATTTCATTCATAACAGTGATAGGCAGGCAAACTGCAATACTTGAACAGAAAGATTTGTAGTCTATGCTGATTTTTATGAGCATTTTACAACTAACTTAATTTCTAAGGGCATGGTCCATATTGTATATTCTAGGGAGCCTTTCCTCCCTTTGTCAGGGGGGCGGGGGGAGGCTTCGGACTCCACTGCCCTCGTCACCTGGTAGTATTCAGATACAAAATCAAGGCGGTTACAATGAGCTGAAACTTACAACTCAGGAGGGAATAAAGAATTTAATGCAAAATATCAGTGAGGAAATCTCTTTGAGGTAGTGTTAAATGGATATTAAGGAAATAGTTTGTGAGGATGTGAAATTCACTGAACTGGCTCCGAATTGTGATTAATAGAGGGCTTTGGCATGAGCGGTGTTGAACTAATGGTTCTACAAGCAGAAAATTATTTTATTATAAGAACACTCCATGAGAAGAAGTGCAATTTTTGCTCATATATTAGTATGTGTGTTTATCCTCCCCCCCCAAAGAAAATATCCAGATGGTATTTTGAAGGCTGCGACAACTATCCTTCCATTTAATAATTAACATATTGTAGCATGTAGAGCTGTTACTATGCAATGACCATGAGATAAGCAAATATACCAGAGCCACTACTGGATAATATGCTTTGCAAACAAAACACACTCCCATGGAAATGATTTGAGCAGCGTCTCCACAGCAACGAATCAACACACAACAATAGTTACCATTGGAAATGGCATTTCCTATGGCGATCCGAGCCAATCTGTTATATCATGAGGAGAGTGGCCATGCTAGAGAAATTCTCAGTGAAAATTCAGAGTTGCAATAGAAGGTGAAATGTCTGTGCCAAGTGAAATACAGTATGTGCCAAAATATTCAGTACTGAAACTCGCGCATCTCAAGTGTGCATGTGCGTTTGTCGATGGGGCATAGCTTCAGCTGCACGTGTTCCCAGTAGTGAAAATGAAGTTGTGTTGTGCAGTTGATGATGGAAATGGGTCTCTCGACAGAGGAAAGAGTATTCATATCTGAGTATTATTTCCGCTCATATGGAAGTGGTCGCCAGACAACTTGCTTCCTTGATTTTGAGCGGCCAGATGTTATCGTCCAGAAACCGCTACATAGTACACTTGTGACGATATGGTGTGCCGTCTCAGCTCACGGTATATTAGGCCCCTATTTCACTGAGGATGAGGAAGGCAGTGCTCTTACTGTCACCCAAGAATGCTAGAGGGACATGATGATCGGACCATTTCTTCAGGATTTGAGAAGATTCTGTCTTGCAAAGGGCCTTGACATGAATAGAGTGGTATCAACAGGACATCTTTTCATTTCAGTACTGTATTTTTGGTGCATACTGTACAAGCAGGGATGCCACAAGGTTCTGCCCTATACTCCACATTGTGCAGTCTATATATGTATGAATGGTGCACCCAGACACCTGGTGTCTATCTAGGTCTCTTTGCTGATGGTACCTGTATATATGAGACAGGCCACAAAGACTGTTGTGATCTCACAAGGCTGCAGTGAGGTCTTGCTGCTACTGAGGCGTGCAGTGGGTGCTGGGACATAAAAATCAATGAAGATAAAACTCAGGCCATTTACTTTCTCAAAGACTTAGGACCCCCAAGTCTCATCTTACACTGAATGGATGGAATATCCCCTTTGTCAATCACATAAAATATCTGGGAGTAATCTTTGATAAAAGGATTACATGGAGGAGGAATGATTGAAGCCAAGGACTTTAAGACATTTATTAGAATATTCTCCCTATTCAGAAGTGAGCTTTTAAGAGCCAGCATCAAACTAACCACCCATAAAGCACCGATCAGACCAGTAATGACTTATGCTTCTCCTGCCTGAGAATTAGCAGACACCTACCTCTTAAAATTACAGCACCTGCAAAATGAGGTTATCTGCACCACTGGAAATTTTTCAAGGGGTACACTGGTCCACAATTTGCACATGGCTTTCAACCTTCCATGCGTGCAGGCGACAAGCAGAAGTCATACGAAATCACATTTAAATACAGTGCTATTGCTGATTTATACAGGCATTGACCCCATCCTGGTACCACAACTAAAGTGTAGGAACTATAACATTCTCACTGGATCACACGCTCCAAGTATTCCACATGAATCAAGCCTTATAATTGCACTCTAAGTCTTCACAAGTTGATGAAATTTCTGTGGCTATCTTCTACCAAGAACTCAGAATTCTGTCACTCACTGCCTTCTTTATTCCCGAAATCTTGCTATATATCCATGGCATGGACCACACAGAAAACACAGTTCTGCTGTTGAAACTTGTTTATCAGACCATCACGTAGCAACAGTCGCAGTGCAGACTTCATAGAAAACAGTCTCTCTATTGTTGTGTAATGTACCATGTTTACAGAGCTGCTGCCTGGCAGCACGTTGATCAAATCTGTTACAATATGAATGATCTGCTTTTAAAAGCCTGTACTGAGAGAGGACTTTTATATAGCGCAAAAGGAAGAATTTTCAGTAACATGCCATATGTGCGAAATGTACATTTGACAAAAAGGCCAAGCATGTACATAAGAGATAGACTCATATTCTCATCAGAGATGGTGTTACATAGGGACGATGACCTCAAGGGTTCAGTTGAAAAAAAAATCTCTATAGTCAAGTGTTTGATGCCAAGACAAACTGTTTGGTGGTAAACCTTCAGTCTCAAAGTAACTTTAACTTTAACTTTGACTTTGAGCTAGAGCCAGTTGAAAGTCAGTCTGCGAAGTGAAGATTAGGAGGTTGGTGTGAAATATCTGTCAGCATGCACACTGGTCGGTTGGAGCACTCAGTCAGTTGTTACAGGCATTTGGAATGGAGCTGCCATTCAGAGAGGACTTGAGCCCAGAAGCTGAGGAATAGCCATTGTTAGAAGCCATTACCAGGCAACTACTAGTGAAGACACTGCAGGCTGGAAAAGGCTTAACTGTGTGCTCTAGTGATTTGTTGATTCGTGAACTGTGGTTATCAGTAATGGCACTGTAATGAAGTGTAGTCACAATTCATGTGTATGAGTGTGGTCAGTAAATCCAATATGTAAACCAAAACCATGCTAAGAGTCACATTTTAACACGTGACAATATAATTATCCTTCTTGCTGAATCAAGATCAATAAAATGTGTCTTTCAGAAGTGTTTCATCATATTGTGCTGGGTTGCACTGCTATGTATTTAATTGCTTCCTTGGCTTGTTTCGTGCATGAATTTTGAGAATTCTGGATGATGGTACAAAGCTGACATTTGTTTGTGTTACATAGGAGACAACAGCAGTGTCTTAGTCACTGCAAGTTATGCAGTGTTCACTGAGGACAAGAAGGTTCCTTTGGCTGTTCTAGGATACCAATTTGAACACTTCAAATTGTTCAGCGAGTTTTACAGCATAACATCTAAGGTAAAACTGGAAACTGACAACAAATATGACAAGATTGTGATATTTTGAGTTGTTTTGACCGAGCAAGTTGCCTGGGCTCATAATGCTGCAGGCATATATTCAGGTGGTACCCTGTTTGAACATTGGTTGAGGTATGGATTATCCTGACTGAGGTCCTTCATGGATTTCCTCAGTCCTTTAAGGAAAGTAGTAGGATAGTATATTAAATTAGGACATGATAGCTTCCTTCCACATACTTTCCAATTCATTATTCACTTTCGTCCATCCATTCAATGGTTATAGTCTGAGTTACTGACAGCATGAGCACATAAACTGCAAATGAATAAACAGTCATTGCTAAATTCCATAATTTTTTAAATAATGCATATATATCTGCACAAAAAAGCTGAACTAAATTCTGCAAGTCTATGAATTACTTTCTGGAGAACTGTGTCAGAAATTGGGTATATCCATTTTAATATTGTCCACCCACCTACACCCTGGTCTTCCCAGTGGTCTCTTTCCTTCTGGCTTTCCCACCAATATCCTATACACATTCCTTGTCTCCCCCTTTTTGTGCTACATGCCCTGCCAACCTCATCCTCCTTGACTTGATCATTCTAATTATACTTGGAGAAGAGTACAAGTTATGAAGCTCCTCATTATGCAGTTTCTCCAACCTCCTGTCACTGCATCCCTTCTTGGTCCATATTTTCTCCTCAACACCCTATTCTCAAACACCCTCAGTCTATGTTCCTCCCTTAATGTCAGAGACAAAGTTTCACACCCATACAGAACCACACGCAAAATTATAGTTTTGTATATTCTAATTTTTATATTTTTGGACAGCAGACGAGGGTAGTTGAACTACAGCATATATTTTTGTATGCTATTTCAGACCTTTGGCCTAAAAGTAGGTATACAATTGATAATTTGTTCAACATTTTTCATAAATGTAAGTTATGGGAAGGATGACCTTTGAGTGGAAATGGTAATGTGGTTTTTCTGACGTAATTATAGACAGATACTGAACTTTATTTTAGGAATATATATGCAACTTTGTTAATCATTTCCTCTGTAAGATTTCTTTCCATCTATGTGCATCAGAACCCCTAGAGTGAGGGTTTTCTTTCTTCATTTCTTCGCCCCCCCCCCTCCTCAATCAAATTCTAGTCATTGTCTTCATTGCTTGTTTCAAAATTGGCAATTGAAAAATCCATATAATTTCCAGTCCAAAATAAACTTTACCAGTATTAAGATTTTGGCATATGATTGTCATCGTGAAAACAAGAAGGTACAAGTGTATGCACATACTATATTTAACCCACAACCATTAAATACTCATCCCATTGTCACATGTTATTTGTGCCAGTGTACTGGTTGCACCAGCTGCAGTTCAGATGAACTGATGTGCTACATCCTAGACAACAATGGTTTCATAGTGGTGTCTGAAGAGATCAGTGAAACAGGAAAGTTTTTCGGTGAAGTGGAGGGCAATGTCATGAAGATGCTAATCCAGGAAAAAGTTTTTAGAAAAGTTCAAATTATTGATTACCAGGCCATCTGCTTACGTGAAGATGAAAGTACAAGCCATGCATCACTCCTGATCACAGTAAGCTGAATTTGACATAGATATTACTAGGTTTTCAGAATGAGTTGTTAGAATTAATTAGATGGTATATGGTAATTTGATGGTGGGTGTTATAGCTTCATAAGTTTTTAACCCTCATGTGAATCTTATCTAGAAGGCAGATGTCAAGACAGGAAGTGTGTTATGAAGCTGCATATCTGAGAACAGTTGAAGAACAATGGACATTATGACAACAACCATTACCAACTTATGAAGCTATAAGCATCACTAACTAATGACTACGTAAATTTGGGGAAAGGACATCTGAAGCCTGATTAATTATCAGAATGGGAAAGATTCAGGTACATTTGATGGAATAAGAGAAGTTTATGATTTCAAATTCCCTATAAACATGTGTAGCATCATGAATGAAAAGTGTTTCTTTGATAAGATGTGATAATCTTGTATCAGTAAGTGTATTTTATTTGTTAATATATTGTATTCTGCATAGATTTCTTATCTGGGTTGTTATGAACACTGCCAAAATCAATATTAGATTTGTTACTACATGTGTTAGTAAAATGTTATATTGAATGGTCCTTATTAGGGCTCATCTTGCTAACATGAAAGCTCTAGAGATCATTCTACTTCATTGTTTTGTAACAGCTGAAGGAACATTGCCTGTTGCAAAGGTGGCTATATGCACTCAACATCAGAGCTGCATATGATAATTTTCAAAATTTCAAGAGACACAGGCAGGCTCTTATTGGAAGGCATAGGTGTTCTGATATATGCTTTGTATGCAGCAGATCATTTTATTTAATGCATTCATGAAAAAAAAGTGTTTCCCCTGAAAGCTACACCCATAGATAAAAAAAAACACTGCAGCTTGGAAGTCACAGTTTGATCACATATAGTTTTCTATCATTTTTCATTGAGTTTGAGTATTAAGGATTTGACATGGGTTGACAACTTCCAGTTGCCCCAAGCACTCAGACTACTTATGGGTCCAGTGTGGCTAGGGCTCCAGAGACTGGACCATAACTAGAGCCAAAATTTTCCAGACTGAGGTCCTCTTAATATCCATAATATCGAAGCAGAGTCAAAGTTCGTAGATCTATGCCAGTTAAGTTGGGCATTGGCATATTCTCCTCTTCTCTTGGACTGCTGGAAATGTGGTATCCAAGTCGCCTTTTGCACTGCTTTTACTCTCTTCCACACTTGGAGAATGCTCTAACTGAAGAATGAGTGAACATTTGAATAAGTGGCCCACAATTTTGAATGACTTTCACAGATCAGATCAGAGAAAATATTTTTTTGAGACCTGATGGTTTAAATGTGCCAGAGTTATTTATTATGTTATCAATTTCCAAATTCAAAATAAATTCATGGAGCAGTCAGACCATGTTCAGTTTGAAGGACAAAATAGGCTGCCTTGAAATCAGAGGAATTCTTTTATTCTCACCTGGTAATAATTAACATGATTACATCATGTAACAAGTTTGAGTAATTTGTTTTTCATCTGCAGTTTCTGACAAGACATTCCTCTGTGAGCCATTCACCATCAAATTATGGTCCACATAACAGGAGAACATGTATATCTATTTCTGTCCATGCTCCATTTCCTAAACTGCAAAACACTTATGGATCATATTTGGTACTATAGCATGAAATAAAACTTGTCAAGGGAGTTCCATAAATTGCTGGGAAGTTTTTGAGTAGCTGCACAATTGGTTGCTTCTCAAGAAGGGTTCAGCTCCATGAAGTTAGTTAGTTAATTAGTGAGTCAGTCAATTAGTTGTTAGGTAGTCAGTCAGTCAGTTAGTTAGGCCTATGTAATATGAGTAGAGAGAAAATATAACAATCAAACTGTAGATAAACTAGTTCACAGAAATATTTATCTTTCTGTACACATTTTCCCTATCTGTGGGTGGTCATCAAATAACCAAGTCTCTCCATCTCTCTGTCCTCTGAAATAGCCCTGTACACTGGCTTAGAGCAAATTATTATGAAAAATTTTGCTCCAATCCTTTCACAGTAGTAATCAGGATGTTTTCTCACATCTGGATAAGGCATATGGCACATCAGTTGATATAGTCAGTGCAGGGATAGAAATAAATTCTGTGGGCTGACACTGATTTTCAGTCATTGGTCAATAATTTTATCAGTGCCAAGATTAAATACAGCAACAGTAAATAGAACTGTATACTGTAACAGTTAGTTAGATCAGTTCTCTGTATCTGGTATATCCTCAGTTTTGTGTTGTTTCATGCTGCTACACCCTGATAGTAAATACAAAAATATTTGCTAGCAAAACCATGAAATACAGTGTTTCACACCTGAAGTTTACATACTTGTTACAATAACAGTTCAATAGGAACTGTGTGTCATTTTGCATCTGTTATATTTTTGGGAGAATGATGAGCACATATTTCTTTAAAAAATGTTATATATCAGTTTGAGAAACAGTGTCTTACTGTTGCAGCCAATGCAGCACTTCCACCATATGCTTGAATGGCTCATAGGCACAACAGTCTGGCTGTTTGCTGAAATCAGTCCGTGGCATGGAAGTTTGACAGATGGTGAATATATTATTCATTTCCATCAATTTGCTTGCACATATGACCAATCTGAAGTCCATACAATTCATTTCATTTCATTTATTCACTTTCCATAAATCCTGTCGAGAATAAATTCTCATGCAGATGTGGAGATCATCCTAGTTACAGTCACAACTAAGAATTACAATTGTTATCCAATAGCATACACATTTGTGATAAAATACTGATAAACACATATGACATGATTGCACATATGACCAATCTGAAGTCCATTCATTTCATTTCATTTATTCACCTACCATAAATGGAATGTGCTTTCACTGTACACAGAAGTTTCCTTGCATACCTACCTTTTAATTGTTGAGGGTTTCTGGTTCCATGCATGTGCATGGTAATCCAATTTTATATTGAATTTAGTTCCCTATCTCAAAGTTTATTAAACTGCTTGATGTGAACAGTGAATATCAGAGCCAGTAGAGCTAATGAAAATGAAAGACACAGTGAAGGTTGTACAACTTAATAGATAATCAGCATTCTCTGGCTGTTTGGTAGAAAAGTAAGTCATTCAAATTAAATTCATATTATTGAAATCTTTGTTACTGCACCATAAGTTCTATTATGTTTACTAGATAGTGGTGAAATTTCTTGTTAGTAATAGTAGGACGATTTCCACATCCACATGAGAATGTACTCTCGGCAGGATTTATGGAAGGTGAATAAATGAAATGAATTTCTTTTGCTCTTAATAGTCCCAATTAAATTGTTATCCACAGCTGCAAAGGTAAAGCCAACACAGTTACCGAAGGAGTATGCAAGGATCAACCGCACTCATCTGGAACCATGTATCAAGGAGTTGGACTTGTACCAACTGCAGAATATCACATATATGAACACCAAGGTTATCAGTTCAAGCAGCTGTTCACAGTGAGTGTGAGAATTAGAAATTTAATGTTAATTGTCCTCTTTATACACTAGTTTCACAATCATATGAGAACACTTTAATGGAATTTGCCTTCCAAGTATTATTTTAGTTAATAAAATATTAAAATTTATTGTCCAGAATTAGGGGATTTATGTTCCTTGCTATTATGGCTCTGTCATTGGACTTAATTACAGCTTCTGGACTGCATGCATGGACATCACAGTAATGCAACACAAGGCAAATAAGGACTAACAGTTACAAAATGACTGTGACTGGTGATTGTCATTTGCTACTTATAGACTGTCAATTCAAAATCTATAATATTTTATTATAGCAAAAATGTTCAAACTATATGTAAATTAGATAAATAAGAATCTGTATTAATGTAGATCAAAGGTAATCTATTAACAGTTCATTCAAGAACTAAAATATAATAGTTGAATAAAATAAATGAAGACGAACCAGCACAATGCCTTCCATCTTCAGCATGACTATTTGAATTTACATTTATCTGCATGATGGAACCTTGTTCAAGAAGAACATATGTTGGTAAATTTTTTTATTTAGAACCCTTGCTAAACTTTACTAGGCATATACAATTTGAGTAAAACATGGAAAATCATGACTTAACATGAAAACATAAGTATATATTTACACTATGAAGACATGGGGAGTGGATAACTAGATCCAAGTATTCTTGACCACTGCGGTCAGCTTCACTCCCCAGCTGCTCTACCCCCAGGCAAAGAGTGGGAGGTATCCATTAGATAGAAGGGTGGGTGAGCCTCAGAACTATTTTGGACAACATGGACAAAAGAAACATCTTACCCCTACCAGGGCTAAGAGTGCAACACCTCGGCCATCCAGCCCATGGCCAGTCACTGTGCCAATTGTTCTATCCCAGCTCCCACATATTTAGGTGTAATTCTGTAAATGTAAATTACAGTAAGAAATTTTTCATCCAAAAGCTGTGGCCTTTAATATGCCAATACCTATGTTGTACACATTTTCTTCATAAGATATATTCTTTTTCATCATAAGGACTGTTAAACATTATGACTGTGAATAGGTTGATTAAAATGTATAAGAAATAATGTATATCTCAGGTGAGTGACAGCTGTGCAGAGAAAATTTGCAATGAATCTATAAACACCTTTCTGTATGTCTAGCCAATTTCACTGCTTCAGCCATTCATGGTCAGGATTTAAATTCAAGTATTTTGTTATATGTCAGTTTCAGTGTCTAAGAATGCAGAACAATGCGCATGCATTACATTTTGCAACAAGACTAGAAAGATAGTGACCAAAACTTATCTTTGAAACAAACAGAATTTGGAAATGCAACAGTGAATCTGGAATGAGTCGGCATTAACCACAGACTTTTATAAAGGGAGTACAGAGAGCAAGTTATTCTATATAGGGACAAATGTCCATTGAAAGTGACAAGCATCCTGAATGCTCTAGAAAGAATATAAAACATGTATCAGTATTTAAAATACATGGTTTAATGTAAAAATGATGGAAGACTGACTACTCATAAAATGTTTGAAGAGAGAGAAACACCATACTGCTTGTGTTAGGCAATTTTAACAGAAGATCTGGGAATGAAGCATGTCTTGACCAAGTCTGTTCCAGAACTGCTGACAAATGAGCATAAGGAAAACTGTTTGGCTTGCTTTAATGTGCAGAAACCATTGAAAACTTAGTAAAAATGATCCTCTGCAGGTTTGTCACATTATGCCAACACTGTGTTGACTATTATTCAATGTCTGAAGTAAATTTAACATATTTTCTCCCATTGTCATGTGATCAGTTGTCTTTATAATGACACATTTGTAATTATTTTATATTTTAAGTTTGATAGAAATGATTGTGACCAGACCTAGGATCTCTCTATTATTAAAGCTATATGCTAACCACAATACTATCCAGGCTGGGCAGGATTTCTTGTTGTTATAACTGTACTTATGTTCCTTCCTGTACTCCATCTACCATGCGATCAAGGACCATTGTCAGTTAGTGATACAGACTTTAATGTCATAATTAGAAGGTTCTATTTTCAGTCTGCTTCTGGTATTCATATGGCAGTGAGAAATTCAAATGTACTTATACAAGAATTACCATTAGGCTGCTGACACCCCTGATTCATAGAACAGATGAACTTTACCTCCTTGGGACAGGGAGTCATACAAAACTCATACATAGGTTTGTTTGATTTATGGCCTATTGTATTTCTTTGATAAATGCAAACACCTTCAATTTTATGGAAATTCTGTACAGATGTTTATGGTACTCTGAATTCCTTCTGATACTGACCAAAAAGAATATCCACGGGAATCTTTTTATTTCATACACACCATGAAATGCAAATACAGAAGGAAATATATAGGACAGACTGAAAGACCACATCAAACATGAATCACAGCATATGAACACACACAAAAACAGAGAAGTGTCCAAGTCCAAACCAGCAAAACAGTCCTAGAATAAGAATCATTGAAATACAAATACTGCAGAAAAGTTTGCTCTCAGTTGTCATTTTAGTAGACTTAAGCCTTCATTGGTAATGAAATGCTTCCACTTTTTCTGGTATCTTCATATCCCTTCAACTATATTTTGTGTTTCTCACTCTTTTTCTGATGTCAAAACTTCTCTGGCAGTCTAATCTAGCGAAGCCCAGTAGTATCCTCAAATGATACATATATGTTACCCTTAATTTCTGAGATTCATTTTTGTTTTAAATCCAAACTTCACTACCATGATTGTTACTCTTGGTATGATGTTTGTTAAGTATAATTTTGTACCAACTGACATCTCTATGACAAAATTTCTTTCTGTTATACAGTTTATTTTATTGCATTTTTAACTTCATGCATACATCTTCAATTATTCAATCATGTGTCCTAACTAAATAAAATCAGATACATATTCTGTTACTCTCCCACATATTTCTGTTTCTATTCTTTAATGTTTGTGCGAATATTCTCATTACATATTTTAGTTTTTGGTGTGGAAATTTTCATGCCATATTTATGTATAATTTTGTGTAATTGGTATACTGCAATTTGTAACTCATCTTCAGATGTTGTCATTATCACTGGATCATCTGCCGGTAATTGCAAAATAAGAAATAATAACAGCTCTTTTAGTATAATGGCATCCAATGAGATACAACTTCCAAAACACGGCATACAGGTAATGTACTTCAGAAAATGAGTAATGCCCCAAATCATTCTGGTATTACAAGAAACACTGCACCAATGAAATGATAAAACACTGGATTAAGGTAATGCCTACAATGCTAAGCAGCAGTTATCACAGATGAAATTCCTTCCTCACTATGACAAGAACACACCCAATGTGCATCAAAAGCAAAATGACACTAACTGAAGAGTTCTGTCTTCTGGGATGTGATCTCACGCAAGCTAATAGCACTTTACCATTGTTTCAGAGGAACATACTATCTTCACATTCACGGTCACAACAAACATGAAGCAGAAACAAGCGGCAAGCAGAGTGCAGAAGATGCTAATTGTTTCCTTTCATTACAATTTTGTTATGCACCATGAGTAATCTATACTAGATCGGACTGTTAATGACATTTCTGTTTACACATGTTGAGATATTTTTGTGATACAATTCACTCTAAATGGGTGTAAAAGTTGGAATGTAACAAGTGGCAAGTTCACCATGACATTGCACCTGCCAATTCTCTAGCACAATGTGCCACAAGTGAAACAGCCTCAGTACTCACCAGATATGACTGCATATGACTTTCTTCTGTTTCCTAAAGTTCAGTGATTTCAGGATTGCTCTACACAGTGGCAGGAAAATTGGAATGAGTGGTGTCTCTGAGATTTGAGGTTCTCATGGCAGTGACTGTGAATATGATGTCTTCTGTGATGTGACACTGTCTTTTTTTGGTAGACATTTAGGTGGTAAATATCTACCAGACGACATGACATCACACCACACACAACAGTAATCTTCAATTGTGTATGTGCAGGAGCTTAATTTAAAGGACATTAAACTCTCATCCCTGGAAGTACAGTACTTTTAGATTTCACAAATTCATTTTCAGCACTTTTTAGTCACACCTCATACAAAGTATAGCTATTTATGATGCCACATGCATCATGTACATCTTCTTTCTGCCATAACAGAGGGATAGTCGGACCTCCACTATTTGCTGACTTTTGTTTGTATTCAGGTACACAGTAGTGCAGAAGTTGTCCCACAGCAACTTGATTCTTGTGGTGGTGGATGGCCTATGCTCAGACGACTCCTGGACAAATGTGAGAATAAAAATGGAAGTAAAAGACTCAAACATATTCTGTATGAAGGCTACGAAAGATGAGTTGGCTCGGAAACGACCCAAAACCTGCATTGGCAGAGACAACAAGGCTGAGAAAGTAAGGCATGTATATTAGGAGTAACTTGTAATGATGCTAGACAAGACAGTTCCAAGCCAAACAAGCATGACAGCACAGTGGATGTCACTATTACTTTGTGCTCAGCTACTCTTGGACACAATGTTCAATAAATTCCTTGTTCTGTCTACAGGTTTGTTGGTCACTGCAAAATTGAAACTTGTTCAAAGTCAATTTACTTCAATTAATATCTTCACATCTTACTAGTCCATTTTAATATCAAACTCACATTCACATCTAGATCTCCCACAAAGTTTACCAAATAAAATTTCTTATGCATTTCTTCTGTCCTATCCACCAAATCCTTCTTGTTGTCATCATCCTAACAACAGTATATAGAAAACATGGAATAGGTGTATCTGGTCTCCCCAGTGGTGTTTCATTACCTTCTGAAGAGATGGGGCCAGGAATGAATAAAATTTACCCTCCTTCCCAAAGCCTACAGATACAATTTTGGGTCTTTATTTAAATGTTCACATTTTAAGAGTTTATTCTATATTACAGAGTACATTTTTATTAGAAAATTTAAGTTTTTCTTTTTGTTGACTACAACATTTAAGACAAAGGGGTACTGCCAACATCCATATGATGCAAAGACCCAAGAGCAGGATTACTATCAAAAGAGATCCTTAATCAAGATTCAATCATATTCATATTACAGATTTGTTGCTTGAAATAAGCATACACACAAATGCCCACTTGTGAGCACACATACACACACACACACACACATGCACAGAGAGAGAGAGAGAGAGAGAAAGGAAACCTAAATTATTAATGTGTACTTTTATCCTAGTGCATTACCTGTAGTAAGAGGTGAATAATGGATGTTCAGACAAGTGGGGTAGTTACAATGACCCAAAGGGCTAGGGGTCTCCCATCCTAAGCTAAAACAGAACAGGCTTTGCAAGGGAAGGGCATGACATCTGTCAAGCCCCATATTCTATTGGAAGGAACTTCCATAATGTAAGCTAAAGCCAGGGCCCTCTATGAACTTCTTGAAACCTAAACAACTTCTCTGCAGTTATTGTGTTTGTGGGCATTATCCATCATCCTGTTTTTATTTAAAGTATACAATGTTTTGGAGACGTGCTTCTGCTCCATCTGCAAACAGGAGGATAGATAACTTCCAGAAATACAGTAGCTGTATTAATATACATTTGTCACAGACTTCTAGAACTCTGCAGATTCTCAAAAACTTTCTTACGCCATATCAATGTGCAAACAAATTATAAATTTGTCTGGCTGCTTTCTGTGTACCAAGGCATTAAATGAGCCAGAATAGATGCATTTAATGCTGGTGGGGCCTGGCTGCACCAGCTGTTATGGACTGGCCAACCTTGGTTCTCTCTTGTTTCACCTCTGATAATGTTTATGTTCAGTTGCAGGAACCCCACATTGCAGAATGTGGGTGTCATCCACAATTCGAAGTTGATATCTTCCTTATGCTGATCTGCTGGTGTGTAGGAGTCATCAGTTCCACACAGCACTGACAGTTGTGTCAGCAACGGAGTGCATTTGTCCATGGTAAAAATATACATCTGTCCCTGTAACAGGCTGTGGAGGCCCATAGGGTTGTGAGATATTGAGGGTACCACATTTTATAAAAATTGGCTGACAGATGGTCGTGAGGTTGATTTTGTCCATGGTACATTTACTGATACCAATAAACAATAGCAACAGAAAATTTCTAGTTTTTACATAACATATGATGTATTGCTTAATATGATTAACTTTACTGATTGACAAACAACACAAAACTTTCAGGCTTAAACCTTTTAGTTGCAAATGTGCAATTTACCTAGTTACAGTCAGTGTTTGAAACTGGGGAAAATGAAGAGTGAAAAATATATATTACTTTATCTCATACAAGTATCTGTTTTATATGACAATGAAAGAAAAACTCCTGGATGTCATATAGTTACCTACTTGGCTCACTGGTTCATAAGGTATTTAATGACATGACTAAATATTATATAAAACTTACTTATCCATTAAAATCATAAGATAAATTCTGTCATGATAATGGCATTCTTTGAAGTAAATTTAAGGAAAATAAAAAGGCAAGGTTTATGAATTTTTTCATAAGAGTTTCCACTATCTAACCAAGGTAAATGAAGTAGAAGATATAACACTTTAAGCCTTAGGCATTTCAATGTTTAAATGTCTCATTGTCAGGTTTAAAGTGTTACAAAAGTACAACTTCATTAGTTTTCAGAAAAGGTTTTCTTTTTGGAAACATTAGACACACTCACTCAAGTTTGAAAGAATATGTGCTTATAAGTTGCATTACAGAAGCAACTCTGACAGAAGTACATACACGATGTACACATATAATCACTTACACATGTGTATATAGTTTTTCTCCAGTTTCCGGCTTTTGTACTTCCACTGATGCATTTTTATATCTTCACTGGGAATTGCCTGCTCATTCAGACTGCACAGCAAGAGTACTGTAGTGAAAATGATCTCTTTCTTTTTTTATCCCACAGGTCTGTCTGCAATAGTTTATTGTCCCTTCATCATTGAATAGGCCTTCTGGAACTTATATGCAGAATTGTTTTTTCTTTCTGTTTGTGATTTATTTTATGATGCTCTCTGTAACTCAGACTTTACTGTGTCTATCAACATTTAAAGCTCTGCTGTGTTCAGCATTACTGGGTCTGTCCTTCCATATATGCCCAGATTTGAATCATAACAGCTTCCAACATCGTACTGCCACATGTAGGGGGGTACGCATGTTGAAAATAACGGGTTCTAGATATGATGATTGGATTTATTAACACTTTGGTTACAATTTATCTTAATTACAATCAATACAGCACTGTCGCTGATTTACACATNATTCAATTCAATTCATTTATTTCATCCATAGCTGTAGAAATTACAATTGGACATGTCAGATAACAACAACATTACATCAAGCATAACATTCAAAGTACATGAATATAGAATAATAAATAATAAATACCTAAGACTAGAGAAAATATTTAAAACATATATACAGATTGTTTACAACATACAAACAGACTATTTAAAACATATTCCTGTACATATAAATAATTTATCTAAAACAGATTTATTTGTCAGCAAGCAGTCCATATCAACAGTTGTTAAAAAATTCCTGAAGAGAATAAAAGACGTTACACAACAAATAATTTTTTAGCTTCTTTTTAAAAACATTAAAATTATTTACACTTTTTAGTTCAGTCGGTAGGCCATTAAATATTTTGGTTCCCATACCAATCACCCCTCTTTTGCAGCGCTCAGTATTGCAAAATTGAACATACAGATTGTGTTTATGAATAGTATTATAGCCATGTATGTCAGAATACTGGGTAGTATATATCCTAGATATGATGATTGGATTTATTAACACTTTGGTTACAATTTATCTTAATTACAATCAATACAGCACTGTCGCTGATTTACACATGTTCCAGTTCACCACTGCACATGCATTAGGATTCTCTGTCTTCACTAGCAACGGATCTCAACACAGAAACTAGCACTCCAAATCCCTATAAAGTCTTCTTGCTGTTTCATGTTCAATCACCATGGAACCTCAGAACTCAACTAAAAACTCTTCTTAGCTACAAGTGGGCTTGCGTTATATAGCCGCAGCATGGATAATGCAAAAAACGCAGTTCTATTGTTGCATAGCACAGATCACACAGAAAACAGAAGTCATGTGATAGCTGAGCACTGTTGGGTTATGAAGTCATTGCGCCTGTGTGGAAGTGTGTTTGCCAAGCCATTGCCTAGAAACTGGTTGCATAACCCTTTGTTCCAATGTTGTGTGCATGTATTACTTAGAAATGGCTATTTCCATTGCTCACCCATTCTTGCTTGGATCAAATACGCCACAATACAGTTCTGTAGATCATTTAATGTTGCTTGTAGTATTCAGACTACATAGCATCAGATAATGGAGTGGCAGATGAATGATGAACTGAAAGGATTTGGAAGGAAGTGGTCATGGCTTGAGGTATTATCCCAGCTTTTACCTGGAGGGACTGAGGTAGACCACAAAGAGGCCTCAGTCATGACAGCCTGTGTCCTGTCTGGGATTACAACTGAGCATCTACTGAATAAATTTTAGAGCATTACCTTGAGACCAACCCGTTCAGTCTCACACAGTTCCACATTTCTGATATCATATTTGCGTGTCTTTCTTTGCATTTAAGTGTGAAGTGTTTTCATTCTGGTTGCTCACTATGAATAAGGTTATACGAAATAAGACTGATGTGAAAAGACCTTAATCATGTAATGACAATAACAGAAAGTGCCGTGTAAATATTTTACTAGCAGATGTCTTTGCTACAGCATTTTATGTATGTTCCTTTCTGAGGCAAACTTTACTCTAATAAGATTTGACAATCTAAACAAATGTAGCAGCTCTGTCTTTACACCTGTATATCAGTGTATCCATTTCTGTAGTCTTTGAATAAAGATAACTGTCAACTGGAGTTTTCTCTGTGTGCATTTTGGAGTCTGCATCTTATTCAGACCGTATCATCATTTAGACTCTTCCTGAGTCAGTTTAATTTAATCCCTCTCACCATAACACATTTTCCTAAGAAACAATTAATTTCGGTCCTTATCAGTGGATGATGCATGAGTATCAAATTATTAAGAACAAATCAAGAAAGATCTTGATCAATTTTCTTATTCTGCCTCAAACTCCATGACATTTCCAAGAGGGTTGCTTCTGATTTGAATAGGAGCGTACAGCTTATCCAATCCATCAGAATAACAATGGTTAACACCATTAGCATGAATCAACAAACTATTCCTCTCTCCATATTTTTTCATCCATGGTGAAAAAGCATGTAGCCCTAGAAATGAGTTTTCTTAAATACGATGATGTATGAAACTTATTCCTTAAAAATTACCTGACAACAAAAGGCGTAAGTAGTACATATCGGTGCAAAGCAAACGACCAGTATGGTAAATTTCATATGATTATAGAAGAAGAATTGGTTTGGTAGCAAAGATTTTTGTTCTCATTCTCAAAGTCTTAAAATTGAAAAAACTGATTCTCAAACTGAAAAAGTCATCCTTGCACATATATAGTGTACAGCAATCCTTATTTACATGAATCTGAACATGAACTACAAAATAGCTCAGAAAGAGCTTACTGTAAAAAATTCAATGACATACAATTTATGATTACAGTAAAACTTGGTTATAGCAACATCGGTTTCTGCGACACCTTGTCTATTGCGTCAAATATTCAATGGTACGAACTAATTCCTCATAAAGCAACTGTTTTTATACCTTGCTTAGTACGACATGCACAAATGCATCAACCTCGTATGTAACGTCATTTTCATTCCTGAATTTCTCTGATATCGTTGGAAAGTTCGATGTGTCTGCCCACCCTCACTTTCTCTACTTGCTGACGTGACTGTCCTGGAAGAATACGACCGCGGGCTGCAAGAGGAGCGTGGGTTTTATGCGAAAACAAGGGTGTGGGGTGGGACTGCGTGAATAGTGCAAGAGGACGCGGCAGGTTGTTAACTGCATTCCTTTCCTAGAATCTCGTCTAACAGGACCTCACATTGTCTACTTACCCTATAGTGTTCCTGCCTAAACCCAGAGAAGTGCAGTAGCGAAAACATGGCAATGAAAAGGAAAGTTTTAAGCATTGAAGAGAAAGTTAAGTGATTCGTGAAATAGAAAATGGAAGGAAAAAAGCTGATGTAACCAATGTACCTGAATTTGGTTTGGTGAATTCTACAGTACAAACGCTATGGAGAATCCATATTAATTCCACGTTAATGTTACGTTAGTCTGTACTTAACTACGTATTTCAC